GCATTAGGAAGGTTGAGAACCACTGATCTAGAAAGAGAGAGGAAGCCGAAGAGGAGTTTTATCTTTGGTCCAAAGCCTGGGAAGGCGTCCTTGTTTGATCTTGCTGTTAAAGGCGCTTAAGTTGACTTTGACTCATGGCAGTTCTATGAACAGAGACCTACAAGTCCCCTTGGGATTGACCTGCTTCCTAGATGGCCTTGAATATGGTTTTCCTCTCCTTCTACAAACATCTGTAGGGAAGTTTCCCCTCTGCAGCTATTTTGTTTTTCATTCAAGCCAGTTTGCAGAAGGAGGAGGACCGTTTGTCCATGTGATTTGCAATCGTTCACTGATTTACTCCTGCCAGTGCCAACCTGTCAGTCCTGGAAAGGTTTCGATTCTGTGTCAACGAAAAGCAAAGCCCCACTTCCTTCTTCTTGGGGGAAACTTTGTGGTAAGTCTCTCCTGTTTATATCTCTTCCATTTCCACATCTCCCGCTGTAGGGAGATCTTGCTGTTTATTAGGTGAAGGCGTCTGTCTTGTTTTTCTCATTCTTGCAAACAAGAATAAGGAATTCCTAAGCTTTTCCCTCTCCAATGAATGGAATTTCCCTAACCTTCCATGACGGTTTCCCCTCACATTTTGGAATCTTTTTTGATCATAGAGGGGTTTTTTTCCCATGCTAATTTAAACACCTTGAGTTTTGGGTTGCTGTGAGTTTTTCAGGCTGTATAGCTATGTTTCAGAAGCATTCTCTCCTGACATTTCACCCACGTCTATGGCAGAGGATGTGAGGTCTGTTGGAAACTAAGCAAATGGGGTTTATAGATCTGTGAAATGACTTCCAGAATGGGAGAAAGAACTCTTCAGTCAAGTGTGAATGTTGCAGTTGATCAGCTTGATTAACATTGAATAGCCTTGGAGCTTCAAAGCCTGGCTGCTGCCTGCCTGGGGGGGATTCCTTTGCTGGGAGGTGTTAGCTGACGCCGATTGTTTCCTGTTTGGAATTCCCCTGTTTTTTTTAGTGTTGCTCTTCCCCCAGGCAGGAAGCAGCCAGGCTTTGAAGCTGCAAGGCCATTCAATGCTAATCAAGGTGTCCAATTGCTTAAATGGCTGAGGGGGAAAAGAAAGGGGCCTGACATTTTGCCCACATCTATGGCAAGCATCCTCTGAGGTTGTGGGGTCTGTTGGAAACTAGGCAAGTGGAATGATGTCCAGGGTGGGAGAGAAAACTCTTGTCTGTTTGAGGCAGGTGTGAATGTTGCCGTTGGTGAGCATTATTAACACTGAATAGCCTTGGAGCTTCAAAGCCCAACTGCTTCCTTCCTGGGGGGGAGTTCCTTTGTTGGGAGGTGTTAGCTGACCCCGATTGTTTCCTGTCTGGAATTCCCCTGTTTATTTAGTGTTGCTCTTCCCCCAGGCAGGAAGCAGCCAGGCTTTGATGCTGCAAGGCCATTAAATACTAATCAAGGTGGCCAGTCGCTTAAACGGCTGGGGGCGGGGGCAGGAGAAAGGGGCCTGACGTTTCACCCACATCTATGGCAGGCATTATCAGAGGTTTTGAGGTCTGTAAGCAAATGGGGTTTATATATCTGTGGAATAATGTCCAGGGTGGGAGAAAGAACTCTTGTCTGCTTGAAGCAAGTGTGAATGTTGCCGTTGACCAGCTTGATTAGCATTGAATAGCCTTGCAGCTTCAAAGCCTGGCTGCTTCCTGCCTGGGGGGAATCCTTTGTTGGGAGGTGTTAGCTGACCCTGATTGTTTCCTGCCATGATCACCTGCAATGATGACCATGTTTTAGAGGCATTTTCTCCTGACATTTCGCCTGCATCTATGGCAAGCATCTTCGAGGATGCTTGCCATAGATGCAGGCGAAACGTCAGGAGAAAATGCCTCTAGAACATGGCCATATAACCTGGAAAAACCTACAACAACCCAGTGATTCCGGCCATGAAAGCCTTCGACAATACCTTAAAGGACCCTTTCCACCTGTTGTAATGGGTCTAGAACAGGTATGAGCAAACTTGGGCTCTCCATGTGTTTTGGACTCCAACTCCCACAATTCCTAACAGCCTCAGGCCCCTTCCTTTTCTTCCTCACCCTGAATGTTTCCTGTCTTGAATTCCCTTGTTTTTTGAGTGTTGGTCTTCCCCCAGGCAGGAAGCAGCCAGGCTTTGAAGCTGCAACGCCATTCAATGTTAATCAAGATGGCCAATTGCTTAAGCGGCTGAGGGGGGAAAGGAAGGGGCCTGAGGCTGTTAGGAATTGTGGAAGCTGAAGTCCAAAACACTTAGAGGGCTGAAGTTTGACTATGCCTGGTCTAATACATGCAAATGCTACTAATCTCCAACCTATTCAGTCCAAAATCCTATAGGAATCTAGACCTATCCCAAGAATCAGGGTTTAGTTAGATAATGTGATCCGTTCTGAGTAGGAAAACTTTTTCCAATGCTTGCAATTGCACTGTTGCAATCCTACGAATCTGTTTGTAGGACTCAGTAATTCCTCACTTCCCTTCTCTTTTTGTCTTTGTCTCTTCCTCTTTGTCCTCATCATCTCCAAAAACGGAAGGAAACAGAACAAAGAACTGGAAACAAAGGGATCATGGGCCAAGAAACATCTGTAAGTGGAAACTATATTCGTAAGCCTATTTCTCATAAGTGGAATTCTAGGTTTCCTCTCTCCCTCCTTTCCTTGTGTATAATCCTCCCTGTTTACAAACCGAATCAATATAGAATCACAGAATTGGAAGGGCTCCCAAGGGACATCCAGTCTGACCTCATTCGGCCAGGCAGGAAGACACAATCCAAGCCCTCCCAAAAGATGGCAATCCAGCCTTTGATTAAAGAGCTCCAGAGAAGGAGATGCTCAAGGAGGTGTATTGGGATGGTAAAGCATCCCAATGGTGACATTCCAGGGTGATAAGTATAAGACTCATAAAATTGGAAGAGGCTTCCAAAGGCCATCTAGTCCAACCCCCTTCTACCAGGCAGGAAGACACTGCCAAAGCCCTCCCGACAGATGGCCATCCAGCCTCTCTTGAAAAGCCTCCCATAAGAAGGAGCTTTCAAATCCATCAAAGGCCACACAGTCCATCACCGCAAACAGCTTCTTGGAAGATCAGACTAAAATCCGGAGTGGATCCCTAGTTGTCATTGTAACCACCAACTGTGTCATGACAAGCAGGTTGGTTGGTTTGAATCAACTGCTGCTGAGGGAATCCAAGGGTGCAGATCCATTGTGGGTTGGGTTCAGACTGCTCTTTGATTGTAGGTGAACTATAAATTCCAGCAACTACAACTTGTAGGTGAACTATAGATCCATTTCTGTTTGAGTCCACAGTGCTCTCTGGATGTAGGTGAACTATAACTCCCAAACTCAAGGTCAATGCCCACCAAATTTTCGGTTGGTCATGGGAGTTCTGTGTGCCAAGTTTGGTTCAATTCCATCGTTGGTGGAGATTAGAATGCTTTTTGATTGTAGGCGAACTATAAATCCCAGCAACTACAACTCCCAAATGTCAAGGTCTATTTCCCCCAAACTCCACCAGTGTTCACATTTGGGCATATTGAGTATTCGTGCCAAGTTTGGTTCAATTCCATCGCTGGTGGAGATCAGAATGCTCTTTGATTGTAGGTGAACTATAAATCCCAGCAACTACAACTCCCAAATGTCAAGGTCTATTTCCCCCAAACTCCACCAGTGTTCACATTTGGGCATATTGAGTATTCGTGCCAAGTTTGGTTCAATTCCATCGCTGGTGGAGATCAGAATGCTCTTTGATTGTAGGTGAACTATAAATCCCAGCAACTACAACTCCCAAATGTCAAGGTCTATTTTCCCCAAACACCACTAGTGTTCACATTTGGGCATACTGAGTATTTGTGCCAAGTTTGGTCCAGATCCATCTCTTTTTGAGTCACAGTGCTCTTTGGATGTAGGTGAACTATAACTCCCAAACTCAAGGTCAATGCCCACCAAATTTTCTGTTGGTCATGGGAGTTCTCTGTGCCAAGTTTGGTTCAATTCCATCGCTGGTGGAGATCAGAATGCTCCTTGATTGTAGGTGAACTATAAATCCCAGCAACTACAACTCCCAAATGTCAAGGTCTATTTCCCCCAAACTCCACCGTGTTCACATTTGGGCATATTGAGTATTCGTGCCAAGTTTGGTCCTGATCCATCCAGAGTCCACAGTGCTCTCTGGATGTAGGTGAACTATAACTGCCGAACTCAAGGTCAATGCCAACCAAAACCTTCCAGTATTTTCTGTTGATCAGGGGAGTTCTGTGTGCCAAGTTTGGTTTAAATCCATCGCTGCTGGTGTTCAGAATGCTTTTTGATTATAGGTGAACTATAAATCCCAGCAACTACAACTCCCAAATTACAAAATCAATCCCCTCCTCAACCCCACTAGCATTCACATTTGGGCATATTGGGTATTTGTGCTTAATTTAGTCCAGTGAATGAAAATATATTCTGCATATCGGATATTTACATTACGATTTATAACAGTACTAAAATGACAGCTATCAAGTAGCAACGAAAACAATATTATGGTTGGGGGTCACCACAACATATAGAACTGCATTAAGGGGTCACGGCATTAGCAAGGTTGAGAACCACTGTCATAGGCCACCCAGTCCAACCCCATTCTGCCAAGAAGCAGGAATATTGCATTCAAAGCACCCCCGACAGATGGCCATCTAGCCTCTGTTTCAAAGCCTCCAAAGAAGGAACATCAACCACACTCTGGGGCAGAGAGTTCCACTGCTGAACAGCTCTCACAGTCAGGAAGTTCTTCCTCATGTTCAGGTGGAATCTCCTTTCCTGTAGTTTGAAGCCATTGTTCCGCGACCTAGTCTCTAGGACAGCAGAAAACAAACTTGTTCCCTCCTCTCATTAACTCTGTTTGATGTTGCAGGTGGAAAAGAGAGAACCGAAGCCTGGAGACATAGTTGAGTTTCCTCGAGGGGCATACCGTCATTACGGCATAGCCATAGGCAACGGTTATGTGATCCACCTCACAAGTACGACCTTCTCTACTTTCAGTGGGAGGGGTATGGCGGTTTGGCCCTCTTCCATTAGGAGAGGAACGGCACACATTTGGTACTAATGTCGAAAGGTTTTCCTCTGCCATTTGGGTAATGTAAACACAGTATGAGAGAGGGTTGTTATGAGTTTTCCAGGATGTATGGCCATGTTCCAGAAGCATTCTCTCCTGACATTTCACACACGTCTATGGCAGGCATCCTCAGAGGTTGTGAGGTCTGTTGGAAACTAGGAAAATTGGGTTTATATATCTGTGAAAAGTCCTGGGTGGGATAAAGAATTCTTGTCTCTTGGAGCTAGGTGTGAATGTTTCAGTTGTCCACCTTGACAAGTATTTGATGGCCTGAGTTTTTAGATGTGGCTTGTTACTACCTGGGGGGAATACTTTGTTGAGAGGTGATTAGCTTTTCCTGATTGTTTCTTGTCTGAAGTTCCCCTGTGTTTGAGTTTACTGTTATAATTTTAGAGTTTTTTAAAATACTGGTAGCCAGATTTTGTTCATTTTCATGGTTTAGCATTTGATGGCCTGGCAGTGCCTGGGGCAATCTTTTGTTGAGATGTGATTAGATGTCTCTGATTCCCCCCCCCCCCTTCTGTTGTTTTGCTGTTGTAATCTTAGAGCTTTTTGGTACTGGTAGCCAGATTTTGATCATTTTCATGGTTTCCTCCTTTCTGTTGAAATTGTCCACACGCTTGTGGATTTCAATGGCTTCTCTGTGTAGCCTGACATGGTGGTTGTCAGATCTGGTCCAGCACTTCTGTGTTCTCAAGTAATATGCTGTGTCCAGGTTGGTTCATCAGGTGTTCTGCTATGGCTGACTTCTCTGGTTGAAGTAGTCTGCAGTGCCTTTCATGTTCCTTGATTCGTGTTTGGGCAATGCTGCGTTTGGTGGTCCCTATGTAGACTTGTCCACAGCTACATGGTATACGTAGACTCCTGCAGAAGTGAGAGGATCCCTCTTGTCCTTTGCTGAATGTAGCATTTGTTGGATTTTCTTCGCGGGTCTGTAGATCGTTTGTAGGTTGTGTTTCTTCATCAGCGTCCCTCTGCAGCCAGTGGTTCCCTTGATGTATGGCAGGAACACTTTTCCTCTGGGTGGATCTTTGTCTTGTGGCTTGGTCTTGGAGCTCTTCTGGTGTCTGTGGTTGAGCCCAGTTGAGGTAGTACAGTTCGTCTTGAAGGAGGTGGGCTTCACTGATTTTTTTTTTGCATGGTCTGCCAGAGATTTATTGGTACTTCTTGACTTAGATGATGGTTGGAGTTTTTATGTAGGTATCTATTCATGTGTGTAGGTTTTCTGTAAACGGCGCGACCCAATTGTTGATCTGCTTTCCGGATGACTAGAACATCTAGAAAAGGCAGTTTTCCTTCATTTTCTTTTTCCATGGTGAATTGGATGTTTGGGTGGATGTGTTTAGGTGGTCCAGGAACCTGTTGAGTTCTTCTTCCCCATGGCTCCAAATGGTGAAGGTGTCATCCACATATCTGATGTTATTTTCTTTTCTTTGAGGTGCGGAGCCAGAGCTTCCTGGCTTCCATTTCTCATCTAGCGGTGGTGGCTCGAAGGGAAAAGTGAAGAAAGAACGCCTCTCTCACGTGGCCTGGGACAACAAGTATTGGGTCAACAACATATATGACCACAAGAAGAAGCCCAGAAATCCAGAGGACATTGTCTATTTTGCCAATGCCATGGTGGGGAAGGAAATGGATTACGACTTGCTCCAGGGCAACTGTGAGCATTTCGCCACAATGCTGCGCTATGGAGATCCAAAGAGCAAACAGGTACACAGACCTTCTGTATCCATCTTGAGGTCATGAGATGTTACCCTACCCTAAACTTAAGATCCTCAGCAGAAATCTTGTTGCATTTCCCACCAAATTAAATCTCCAACATCCTGTACTTCTCACCCTGGAAGATCACCTTTGGGTGCTCTCCCTTTCCCAAGTTAAAAAGCAAAAGGTTTTTTCACAACAGAGTTCAAAATGTAGATAACCCAGAGAGAACTACACTTCTTTTCCCTCTCTACAGGCTGAAGATGGCATCCTTGCTGGATCTGCAACCTTGGGTACTGTATTAGGCGGTGCAATTGTGATTGGGGCCGCCTATGCCATATTCAAGGGAATTGCAGGAAAACACGATGAAGACTAGCATCTCTGGTGTCAAAAGGAGCACAGGCCTGATGGACACATCCCCACACAACCACAGGTCTCTCACTTTCCTCTTCCACAACTTGAGTGTGAATCCCACTCCGGTCTCCAGAGCTCTTACAAATGGAAAGAGATGTGAAATAAACGTCTGGGTTTCTCCTTTTATATCTGTTTTTGATTGAGCAGCAGAACACTCAATTTTGAGTGAAGGTTCTAGATCCAATCCTCAAGAACCAGGTAGGAGTGTGGCATAGTGTTGAGCATTTGCTAGATCAGGCATGGGCAAACTTTCTAACTTGGGGTCCGCATGGTGGGCTGGAGCAGGGTGGGTGGGCTGGGAGGGAGGGTGTTCTGCCCAAGCCCCCTCCCTGCTCTTTCCTCCCCTTCCTCTTCTCTTTCTGACGCAGAAAGTGAAACAAAGATAGGAAATGTTTGGATCCCAAAAGGGTTAGCCTTGGTCAAGATGCGATGGATGCGGGAGAAAAAGTGTATCTATAAGACCCTGCATTGCCTACTTCTGATACAGAATCCTAGATCTGGAAGAGACCCCCGAGGGCCATCCAGTCTACCCCCTGCCATGCAAGAAGGCACAATCAAAGCACTCCCAATAGTCAGCCTCTGTGGAAAAGCCTCAATGGTGGAGACTCCACCACACCCCGAGGCAGCCTAGGTCACTCTCCAGGAAGTTCTTCCAAACCTTTTCAGTCAAATCTCTTTCACTGCCATTTGAACCCATTGCTCCCTTGTGTCCTAGTCTCTAGAGCATCAGAAAGTCAATCCCCTCCACCTCCTCAATGAGACACCCTTTCAAATCTTGCAACATGGTTCCCATGTTTTCTCTCTACCTTCTCCCAGCTAAACATCCCCCAGGAGGAAAGGAGGAAGGAAAAAGAGAAGGAAGGAAGGGAGAGAATGAGGGAGGAAGAAAAGGATGGAAGAAAGGATGGAGGGGAAGGAGAGAAAAAAAGAGAAGGAAGGAATGACAAAAGGGAAGGAAGGAGAAAGAGGGAGAGGGGGAAGATGGGAAAGAGGGAAGGAAGAAAGACAAAAGGGAAGGAAGGAAGGGAAGGAGGAAGATAGAAGGAAGGACAGACAAAAGGGTGGAAGGGAATGGAGAGAGGGAGAAAGAGGGAGGGAGGAAAGAGGGAAGGAAGGAAAGACAAAAGGGAAGGAAGGAGAAAGAGGGAGAGGGGGGAAGATGGGGGAAAGAGGGAAGGAAGAAAGGACAAAAGAATGGAAGGAAGAGGAAGGAGGAAGGAAGAAGGAAGGAAGAAGGAAAGGAAGGAAGGAAGGGAAGGAAGGGAAGGAGGAAGAAGAAGGAAGGAGGGAAAAGGGTGGAAGGGAATGGAGAGAGGGAGAAAGGGGGAGGGAGGAAAGAGGGAAGGAAGGAAGGACAAAAGGGAAGAAGAAGAAAGAGGGAGAGGGGGTAAGATGGGGGAAAGAGGGAAGAAGGGATGAAAGTGTGGAAGGGAGGGGAGGGAGGGAGGGAGGGAGGGAGGGAGGGAGGGAGGGAGGGAGGGAGGGAGGAGGGAGGAAGGAAGGAGAAGGAGAGAAGGAAGGAGGAAAAGGGGGAAGGGAATGGAGAGAGGGAGGAAAGGAGGGAGGAAAAGAGGAAGGAAGGAAGGACAAAGGGAAGAAGAAGAAAGAGGGAGAGGGGAAGAGGGGGAAAGAGGGAAGAAAGAAGGACGAAAGGGTGGAAGGAGAAGGAAGAAGGAAGAAGGAGGAAGGAAGGAAGGAAGGAAGGAAGAAAGGAAGGAAGGAAGGAAGGAAGGAAGGAAGGAAGGAAAGGAGCCGGAAGATAGAAGGAAGGACGGGCAAAAGGGTGGAAGGGAATGGAGAGAGGGAGAAAGGGGGAGGGAGGAAAGAGGGAAGGAAGGAAAGACAAAAGGGAAGGAAGGAGAAAGAGGGAGAGGGGGGAAGATGGGGGAAAGAGGAAGAAAAAGGTTGGGGAGGGGAGGGGAGGGGCAGGGAGGAGAGAAGGAAAGCAAGACAAAGGGGAGGGAGGGAGGGAGGGAGGGAGGGAGGGAGGGAGGGAGGGAGGAAGGAAGGAAGGAAGGAAGGAAGGAAGGAAGGAAGGAAGGAAGGAAGGAAGGAAGGAAGGAAGGAGGGAAGGAAGGAAGGAGGGAAGGAAGGAAGAAGGGGGAAGGGAAGGAAGAGGGAGAAAGAGGAGGGGAGGGAAGAGGAAGGATGAAAGACAAAAAGGGAGGGAAGGAAGGAGGAAGGAAACAGGAAAAGGAAAGAAAGAAGAAAGGGTGGAAGAGAGGAAGAGAGGGAGGAAGAGGAAGGGGAGGGAGGGAGAGAGAGGGAAGGACTGAAAGACAAAAGGGAGGGGGAGGGAATAAGAGAAGGAGGGAAGGAAGGAAAAGCAGGAAGGAAAGAGGGAAGGAAGGAAGGATGAAAGGGTGGAAGGAAAGGATGGAAGGAGAAAAAGGGAGAGAAGGATGAATAGGATGATGAGAGAGAGGAGAGCCTGAGAAAAAGAGCCCAAGGGGCTGCATTTAGTCCCCAGGCCCGGGTTTGCCCATACCTGGGCTGGATCACTGAAAATCAGTATTCAATTTATGGCTCTATCTCGGTAACCCATTTGGACGCACACTCTTGACCTCAGAACACCAGACGATAGGCTTGGAAGCAGTGCGAAGTTTGTTTGTTTGTCGGCTCCTTTAATAGCACAGCTGTCTGATGCAGCATAAAAAGATACAGCACAAATAGGAGGGGATAGCTTTGTCCTTTGCTGCCCCAGAGGAAAGGAGGTGAAGGAGAGGGGCAGGAAAACCTGGGGGGACAGGAACGGGCAAAGTACAGTCCTCGTGTTGGGTTGCATGTCTTCTCAACCTTGGTAAGGACCATTGGGAGCCACGTCTTGGAGGGCGACATTTGCTCTGCTCTGGGGATAGAAAGCCCAGTTTCAGCGGAGACAGGAGAAAATGCCACATTCCTCTTTGTAGCCAGTAGAGCATCAAGTTCTATCAGTGTCCTTATGTGGATGTCTGGGCATGGAAAGAGAAGGTAAGGACAGAAGAAAAGGGCCCTTTGTTGGCAATGTCCAACCAGTGGCAGAGTTGTCCCTGAGCAGCATCCCATAGTAAGGGAGATACAAAACATCAGGGCATTGTAAGGTGCACTATTACACCAGTGTAGAAATCTCCAAAAGGATCTCTACCACAATCCCCATTCTGTTGTGAAAATCCATACAGACTGTGTGGGCAGTGCTCTCCTTCACAACTCAGGCATTTCCTGTAACTTCTCCTGGTCAGCCCGAAAAGGCCACCAGCCCTGAGACAGACCCAGGAGGATGGGAATGTCCTTCCTTGTGTGTTCACCATTTGGATCTTCTTCAGTCCGACCGCCCAGAGCCTCAGTCCTGGAGCAGCTTGTGCTTGACTGTGGTGCTCTCCGTGCAAAGGTGGACAAAGAGGGTGGCTGCAGCTGTACGGGAACGCATCTCATGCAGGTCGTAGTCGTGGGCCCACTCCACGTTCCCCCAGCGCTGGATCTGGAAAGAGAGTGCCAAAGAGAGGGTCAATCTTGCTGGGTGAGTGGACTTATTAACAAAAGATCCTCCTCGTAAATGTACAGCAGAGTAACTTATTAGCAGCAGCGTGACCCAGCACCAGTAACCAAAAGTGATAAAAATAACAAAAACATACAGACCAATGTTATCTCTTCCTTAGGAGGCTTTTCTTTATAGCAAAACAATGTGGTTGCTCTATTTACAAGAACAAGGTTTCCACAACAAAATAAAGTTCTTTATACTTCCTTCTTTGCTTCCACGCTGGGCTTCTTTCTCATGCAGATAAACAGCTTCTAGCTTCTCTCTCACAGAGCTTCCTCTCACACTGAACTTACACAGAAGCTTCACACTGCAGCTTTTTACACACTGCAGGCTTCACACACAAGATCTTCAACCTGGGGCTTCTCTCACTGAAACTTCTCCCATACTGAACTCCCAAACTTCTCACTGAAACTTCTACTCATACTGAGGCCAACTAACAGTGAGGCTGACTAACACACTAAGGCCTCTCTCACTGAGGCTTATCTCATACTGAGGACTCTCTCAGACTGAGGCCTTCGTTCCAGAGGGCAACTAACACTTAGGTGTACTAAGCTACAGGCACACCTACTTATATTGAACTTTTGCTGAGCCATTGCATCCATTTAACCCTTTCAGTGCTTGACTCACATTTTTAATTAAAAATACCTAATTATTTTTTTATATTTCTGACAAATCTTTGGTCCATAATCTGGGATGGTGTCCTTGTTTACCCTCGTTGTTAAATTTATTTGATAATCTGGACTGCATCTCCGTCTACGAACCGACGCGCTCACTTCGGTCATCTGGAGAGGCCCTGCTTGTGATCCCACCTGCGTTGCAAGCGCGCTTGGTGGGGACTCGAGACAGGGCCTTATCTGTGGTGGTCCCCCGACTCTGGAACGCCCTCCCAAAAGATCTAAGACAGGCCCCCACATTGGCAGTCTTCAGAAAGAACTTGAAGACCTGGCTGTTCCGATGTGCCTTCCCAGATTAGGAATCTCCATTACGAAGTCCCAGAAGCACTTTAGTAGAACTAAGACTGCTGCACACTGCACACTGCACTTACTTTATAATCCTACATACCTCCTGCCATATCAGCACTTTTAATCGTGTACCCATTACTCTGGCTCGGCCCAGTTTTATAGTGTCTCGATGTTATTGTTTATTGTTTGTTGTTTATATTGCTTAATCTGTTTTTAATTTTAATTTTGCTTTAGGTGTTCATTGTTATGTTTTGAGGCCTCGGCCTGTGTAAGCCGCATCGAGTCCTTCGGGAGATGCTAGTGGGGTACAAATAAAGTAATAATAATAATAATAATAATAATAATAATAATAATAATATGGCAGTGTAGAAGGGGCCTAAGTCCCAGATCTGATTCCCATACCGGTTTCAAACTTTACTTCCTGACAATTCTCCTTAACTGGCAGAATCGTTTTCATCGTTTGCTCTAAAGGACATAACTCTGTGCTGCCTCCAAGTCTTACCTGGTATTCTTCTTCCAGGCGAGACAGCAGGACCGCATGCTCCACTGTCAAGTGTTTGTCCAAGAGGCCCATGGAGAGAATAAGGGATTTCAGCTGAGTGATCATGTACTCGATGCCTGGTGGAATTGGGGAGACAATTTGCGAAGGAAGAAAAGATATCGTAATTCATTTCATGATATTTTCTGCAGTGTAATAGTCAAAACTCCATTTTTGGTGGTGGCAAAATTAGGGTTTTTTTGTTCCTCATATAATAGTCGCAGAGCCGTTTGGAGGGATTCTCCCTCCCTTCCTTCTCTGAAGTCAAGGCAGTTGAAAAACTGTAAAATGGAGGTCTCTGGAGCTCCATTCTTCTCTCCTTTCTCTTTCCTCTGAGGCTTTAAGACAGTTTACCAAACCTGAAATTGAGTTCTCTGGAACTTCGCTCTTCCCTCCTTCCTCCAAAAAGCTCAATTTCAGATGTTGGAAACTACTTTGCCTTCAGAGAAATAATAATAATAATAATAATAATAATAATAATAATAATAATACTTTATTTATGTACCGCTCCATCTCCCCGGGGGGACTCAAAGCGGTTCCCAAGTAATATCACAAAACAGAGTAAAAACAACATAACCATAAGATTAACAAACAAAATATAAACATAAAAATTGTCATCATAACACACATATATTAAAAATAATCCTGCCTGTTCAAGGCAATTAAAAATTTAAAAGGCCGGCCCAAGATTTGTGCAAGCCCGAAAAATTTTGGGGGGGAGGGGGGGGGGCGGGAATTAAGTGCAATGCTATGGCAGGCAACAATAATATTAGGTCTACTCCAGGGCCGATTAGAGGAAAGAATCTGGGTAACTGGTAGGAAGAATAAGGCCGTATTAGACAATGTGTGGGGCTCAGTTAGAACTGGTCATTTTCAAAGGCTTGTTGAAACCAGTAGGTCTTCAAGCTCTTACGAAAGGAGGGGAGGGATGAGGCCTGTCTTATTTCCTTTGGAAGGGCGTTCCAGAGACGGGGAGCCAACACTGAGAAGGCCCTCTCTCTCGTCCCCACCAATCGCGCTTGAGACAGTCGTGGGACCAAGAGGAGGGTCTCCCCGGAAGATCTTAGAGCTTGTGCTGGTTCATAGAAGGAGATGCGATCACAGAGACAGGCGGGGCCCGAACCGTTTAGGAAGGAAGGAAGGAAAAAAGGAAGGGAGGGGGAAAACTCATTTCTCTGAGGTAAGGCAATTTAAAAACAAACAAACAGACAGAAAGAAGGGGAGCTTTAACCACTGGTACAGTTTGGGAACCATGATACAGGGTGATGGGAATGGAAATTCACCTACATCCTCTAATGAGACCATTCGTAAAAATCAAAAACAAACAGTGACTATTTTCCTGATAAACAACACTACAAAATACCTAAAACACAAGCATTGCCAGGTACCTAAGCTAATATAAATTAAATCTGCAAAAGTTAAACCTGCAAATGTGAAAGGCTGACAGGACTGGTGACTGGAAAACATCCTGCCTCAGAAGTATATGATGTAGACTGAGATACTTCCAATACACTGGCGACCAAAAGAGGCTTCTCTTTACCTTGAAGAGCCCAGGTGTTATATGATGCCAGGTGGCTAATGAAGACGTCCTTGGTGCTCTGGGGGATGCTGGGCCCCATGATGCTGGTTGAGGAGCCAATCGTGACATTGTACCTGAAGGCAAAACAGAGTTTAGCTAGTAAAGGTAAAGGTTTTCCCCTGACATTAAGTCTAGTCGTGTCCGACTCTGGGTGTTGGTGCTCATCTCCATTTCTAAGCCGAAGAGCCGGCATTGTCCGTAGACACCTCCAAGGTCATGTGGCCGGCATGACTGCATGGAGCGCCCTTAGCTTCCTGCAGGAGTGGTACCCATTGATCTACTCACATTTGAATGTTTTTGAACTGCTAGGTTGGCAGAAGCTGGGGCTAACAGCGGGAGCTCACGTCGCTCCCCAGATTCGAGCCTGCAACCTTTCGGTCAGCAAGTTCAGCGGCTCAGCGCTTTAACCCACTGTGCCACCGGAGCTCGTATGAATTTAGCCATGTCTGAAGAATGGCAGAGATACTTCACTCGGAGCCATGGCAGTTCAAATGGTGTCAAACTGCATTCATTCTGCATTGTGGATCCAGCCTCAGTCCTTCTTTGTATTTACCTTTTCTCGGCCCACTCAATGACAGGATCCCACTCGTTCTTCTGCAATTCCACCAAGGCAGGGGGCTCTTCCACTCGGTAGCTAGCATTTCCCAAAAGCAGATCAAAAGAAAGCAAATTTTTTTTGAATAAATAAATAAATTAAAAATTACTATCACTCAGAATTAAATTCTCACCCACATGGCCTACAAAACTCCTTCCACAACTCCCAGTGCAAACTGTAAATCTAATTTTATTTATTTATTTATTTATTTATTTATAAATCTAATTTTGACCACAAAACAATTCTGCTCTAATATTATACATTCTAAATCGCAGAAACATTGGTTTGCTTTTTGGAGAATGTTTAGAAACAGGCCTTTTGTTATGTGCCTTCAAGTCACTTTTGACTTACGGGAACTAAGGCAAATCTATTATGGGATATTCTTGGCAAGTTGTCCAGAGAGGCTTTCTTTTCTTCTGAGGCTGAGAGAGTGTGGCTTCTTACCCCAGTGTTTCTATACTGAATGGGAATATGAATCCTTTTCCCCCCTCAAGAGTACTAGTCTAATGCTTCAATCTACTACATTATGCTGGCTCCAGATCCCCCCCACCCCAAATGCCAGGAGCGGCTTGAGAAACTGCAAGTCGCTTCTAGTGTGAGAGAATTGGCCATCTGCAAGGACATTGCCCAGGGGACGCCTGGATGTTTGATGTTTCCCAAACTTGTGGGAGGCTTCTCTCATGTTCTCGCATGGGGAGCTGGAGCTGACAGAGGGAGCTCAACCCAAATTTGTACCGGTGACCTGTTGGTAATCAGTCCTGCCAGGACAAGGGTTTAACCCATTGCGCCATTGGGGGCTCCTGGTGACTCCAGATAATGATAAAAATAATAATACTAATAATATCACTAATAGTAATAGTAATATTTTTTAATAAATCAGAGCTTATAAACATTGTTTTTAGGGGAAAACAGTTCCCAGAATCCTCCAACCACCATGACCACTTCCCAACCCATTCCAGAATCCCAAATCCAGTCCTACCAGATGGTATCTGTCTCTAAGAACTTCAGAGCTGCCCCGATAATTTGGTCCTTGGTTCGTTGTGATGGGTTGTCCAAAGCCGTGTTGCACAAAGTAGTCTGGAAGGCAGGGAAGCAGTTACAGAAACTCAAAACCACTAAATGGGTATGAGAACTAAGGCCCCATCTACACTGCTATATAATGCAGTTTCAGAATGCAGATTAACTGCATTGAATTGGATTATATGGCAGTGCAGACCATATAAAGTTTCCCCTTGACATTAAGTCTAGTTGTGTCTGACCCTGGGGGGTGGTGCTCATTTCCATTTCTAAGCCAAAGAGCCGGCGTTGTCCGCAGACACCTCCAAGGTCATGTGGCCAGCATGACTGCATGGAGCGCCCTTACCTTCCCGCCAAATCGGTAACTATTGATCTACTCACATTTGCATGTTTTCAAACTGCAAGGTTGGCACTTATTCACTTTCGCTTACAGCCCTCGTTGGCATTCATAGATCAAAGCTTATCTTTTACCTTTTGAAGATTTATTTCTGCTCATTAGGTCCTCCACCGCTTCCCCCTTCTTCCCAGTCCAAAAAAAGATAAATCCAATTCTCTTTATTGGCTCATTTTACTGCTTATTTCTCTTTTTGCTCAAAAGTGGCATGGGATACATCTTTACCCAGCTATGGATAACTCCGTCCCCCAGCTCTGCGGTTTAACCTGCTACACCACCGGAAGCTTCGCAGACTCAAAAATTGCAGTTTAATATGAGTCTACACTGACTATTATAATACAGTTCAAACTGCATTATACGGCAGTGTAAATGGGGCCTGAGAAGCAAACCAGAAACTAACCAAAGCAAACCAGTGTATCTTCCTTCTGCCGGTTAGTTTTGGGCTATGTTCGCCTATATGATATTTTTTCTGCAGACATTTATTTTAACATTTGACAGTTCCTCCAAGGCAAGCAGTTGAAAAGGTTGTTTTAACATATCCTGCTCTACTTAATACAATCATCCTATCCAAAACTACAACCCTTCATCTCTGCCTCGAGCCGCAAGGAGAGGCGGGTAATAAATGTATATTATTATTGTTGTTGTTGTTGTTGTTATTAGAAACACAACAAGATGAGTCCACAGCAGACAATATCACTATGCTGGCTGTTGTACTGGATCACACGTCGGACATTTCCCAAGTGTCTAGGACTGTGTGATATATCGGCGAATTATTATTATTATTATTATTATTATTTGATACACAACAAGATTAGTACACAACAAACAAGATCACTCTGCTAGCTGTTGTATTGGATTATCACATTATTGTATTGTCAAAGGCTTTCATGGCCGGAATCACTGGGTTGTTGTAGGTTTTCCAGGCTGTATGGCCATGTTCTAGAAGCATTCTCTCCTGACATTTCGCCCACATCTATGGCAGGCACCTTCAGAGGTTGTGAGATCTTTTGGAAACGAGGAAAGTTGGGTTTATATATCTGTGGAAAGTCCAGGATGAGAGAAAGAACTTTTGTTTATTGGAGCTAGGTGTGGATGTTTCAACTGGCAACCTTGATTAGAATTTGATGGCCTGATATTATTATTGATGGCATTATTATTATTATTATTATACATTATTATTGATGGCCATCACATCATCATTATTATTATTATTATTATTATTATTATTATTATTATTATGGCAGTCTGTCACTCACCAGGTGCATAGTGTAGGGCTTGATGGTGTCTCGCTGAGAGTCCCATTCAGTGGCCACTGCTAGAGCCAACGTCTCGCTGGGGACAGTGAAAAGCTTGGCCTGTGGGGTTTTCAGCTTCCGGTGATCCAGACTGATTTCAAAGCCTCCTGGAGAAATTAAACTTCTATTAAACCTGAACCCTGTACGACAGTGCAGATTCACCCATTAATGATCTATATAGCTGGAATGAGTAGCTCTGGAAGATCCACTTGCCAACGTCATGCCTTTTGGACTCTCTGGGGGCCACAGAGACTGCCAAAATGTGTAAACCAGAACTGAAAGTGTCCAGAAATTTAAAGACTTTCCACCATGGATACTAAAATCTGTTGATGCTCAAGTCTCATTATATGGGAAGTAAAAATGGATGCCCCTATATAAAATGGCAAAACCAAGACCTGCTTTTGGATTTAATGGGGTGTCTGTGTGAGTGATACTTTCAAGAATTCGACAGATGAATCTGTGGCTGACTGTACCTAATTTTTAAACTACTGTTTAATTATATAATTGTAGAGTTTGCATACCCTTACATACATTCTGCCATTCCAGAACCCTAAAATGTGATTTCTTAACGGTTAGCTAGTTCACATTGAACTCGCAACACAGTTGGGCATCACAAAAAAAGTTCTCCCAAGAATAAATTTCTCTCCCATTAATTGCTGAATTTCAAACTTTTTGCTAGATGCACTGTAAATTCCCACTTCTAAATGACTTTGGTCAGGGAAGAGATAGAATCAAATTTCAGAAGTGTTCTGCCACTAAGTTCATCTTGAAGAATGCAGTACTGAAGAATGCTGATCTGGCCGGGGTGGTCCACGCCTTAGTCACCTCCAGACGATTACTGCAATGCGCTCTACATGGGGCTGCCCTTGAAAACGGCTCGGAAACTCCAATTGGTCCAACGGGCAGCAGCCAGGATGTTAACTGGGGCCCACAGAGAGAGGTCAACCCTCCTGTTTAAGGAGCTCCACTGGCTGCCGTTTATTTTCCGAGCCCAATTTAAGGTGCAGGTGCTTACCTACAAAGCCCTGAACGGTTTGGGACCACCCTACCTGCGTGACCGTATCGTTGTCTACGAACCCACACGTTCACTCCGGTCATCTGGAGAGACCCTGCTCGTGATCCCGCCCGCGTCACAAGCGCGCTTGGTGGGGACACGAGACAGGGCCTTCTCTGTGGTGGCCCCCGCCTCTGGAATGCCCTCCCGAAAGACCTCAGACAAGCCCCTACACTGGCAGTCTTCAGGAAGAATCTGAAAACCTGGCTGTTCCAATGTGCCTTTTCAGACTAGGAACCCCAGTACCAAATCCCAGAAGCACTTTAGTTAGAACCAAGATCACCGCACACCGCACTTATACTATAATCCCATATTCCTCCGACACATCAGCACTTTTAACCCTGTACCCCTACTCTGCCGGCTCAGTTTTAATAATGTCTTGTTGTACTGTTTTTGTTATTGTTTTTGCTTAACTGTTTATTTGCTAGGTACTGTATTGTTGTATTGTTGTATTGTGTGGGCTTCGGCCCGTTGTAAGCCGCATCGAATCCCTTGGGAGATGCTAGCGGGGTACAAATAAAGTTATAATATAATAATAATAATAATACTGTCCATCCTGTTTTGCAACAGGATCAATCCAGATAAAGGATTTTAGAATCATAATAAATAATTATGTTAATTATAAAATGCAACCAACGAGTGCTCACTGACCTTCACCTTGGCTGATGGTAACATCCTGGTAAAACCGCTTCCTCTCTGCAACAGAGGAAAGCATATTAAGAAATACATAAAATAGGCAACTAATATAGACTAATGCATGCATTTCTGAAATCAAGAATCTCTATCTTTTTATTATTCCCATTTTCTATGGGGAAATTATTGGATTATAGCATATATATTGTATACTAGCCATCCTCTGCCATGTGTTGCTGTGGCCCAGTCTGTGTATATGTGTTTTGTATGTTTATATATTTGTGTATATATGTGTGTTTGTGTGCTTGTCTATATGCATATTTGTGTGTATATGTGTGTATGTATGTATGTATATATAAATATGTGTGTATGTGTGTGCATGTGTATATGTATATATGTATGTGTGTATGTATGTGTGCGTATATTTGTGTGTGTTTGTGCATATATATGTGTGTGTGTATGAATGTGTGCAAGTGTATATGTATATGAGTGTATGTGCACATATTTTGTATTTTGGGGGTTTTAAGTCAGTTCCGCTGGGGTTTTGTGTGTGTGTGTGTGTGTTTAGGAGTGATGGTCACTCATTTGTCTGTTAGGGGTATAGTGTCCAAATTTGGTGTTAATTCATCCAGTGGTTTTTGAGTACTGTTAATCCCACAAATGAACATTATATTTTTATTTATATAGATACCTATAATATTTATAATATTGTAATGCAATGCAATATAATAATAATATGATATTATAATTATATATTTATATTACATGTAATATTACTAATAATATTTCGATATAGTGGTATGGTGCAGTATAGCAATGCTTAACGCTGATATTGTACTATGCTAATAATATAATATATTGTATGTAATATATACCTTGTAAGCTGCTCTGAGTCCCCTTCGGGGTGAGAAGGGCGGCATATAAATGTCGTAAATAACTAAATAAATAATATGCTGGAAGCAGTCAATGTATTTAACATATAGCAGAATGCTAGAATAGAGGGAACCAAGGATGTGCTCTTTTAATACATTTTTGACTTCTAGTGACTTTCTACCTAAAAGCCAAGCAGATTAAAGGTTTTGCAGACCCTCTTTCATAGTGAACTACATCTCCCACAATGCACTAGCCAACAGGGGCCAAGGACCAACCTTAAAAGGGGCTCCCCTGGTGGCAAAAAAGGGAATGTTTGTATTTCAAATCATGGCTAATAATCTGCTCTCCAAGTTTACTATTCTCTCAAGGGAAGAGCCAGAAACAAATCAGATATTTATGGAAAATGAGCCCAGACTTATCTATAGTTGTGAAAGGTTAAAAGGAGCAAGTTGAGTCTCAGTTCCGCTAAGGAACAACAAGAAGAGACGCTGCCTTTATACTTTCTCATTTGATTTATCAGAGGTGTCTGGTTAGCGACTAGAAGGGAGACAAGACGTTTGATAGAATAGAATCTTTCTCTGTTTAATAAACATTAGGTTTGATCAAGCAGAGCATCCATTATGGGCTCACAGCATGTTTTATGAGGCTAATGGTGGTGGTGTTTCTAAAATGGGAAAATAGCAAACAAAAACACAAGCTGAATCAGTCCAAATGTTAATTAAACAGAGAAACAAGATGCTTGCCTAAATGGATTCTGTTTTCTCCTGTATCTTGTTTCTGTTAGTTTATAACCAGAATCCTCTGAGAAATCCATTGATAAAGGATGAAGGTGATGGCTTTTCTTGTTATTCCTTCAATAACAGCTTTAACAGTTATAGACAAGTATAGGCTTGTTTTCCATCTGATATATGGCTATGCTGGTTGTTCATTAGCATCATTGGCAATCAACTTGCTTCTTTTCATAGAATCATAGAATCAAGGAGTTGGAAGCGACCTCATGGGCCATCCAGTCCAACCCCATTCTGCCAAGAAGCAGGAATATTGCATTCAAATCACCCCTGACAGATGGCCATCCAGCCTCTGTTTAAAAGCTTCCAAAGAAGAAGCCTCCACCACACTCCAGGGCAGAGAGTTCCACTGCTGAACGGCTCTCACAGTCAGGAAGTTCTTCCTCATGTTCAGATGGAATTCTCCTTTCTTATAGTTTGGAGCCATTGTTCCGTGTCCTAATCTCCAGGGAAGCGGAAAACAAGCTTGCTCCCTCTCACATACTTCCTCTCACATATTTCTACATGGCTATCATATCTCCTCTCAGCCTTCTCCAGGCTAAACATGCCCAACTCCTTAAGCTGCTCCTCATAGGGCTTGTTCTCCAGACCCTTGATCATTTTAGCCACCCTCCTCTGGACACATTCCAGCTTGTCAATATCTCTCTTGAATTGTGGTGCCCAGAACTGGACACAATATTCCAGATGTGGTCTAACCAAGGCAGAATAGAGCATGGGGAGCATGACTTCCCTAGATCTAGACACTATGCTCCTATTGATGCAGGCCAAAATCCCATTGGCTTTTCTTGCCGCCACATCACATTGTTGGCTCATGTTTAACTTGTTGTCCACGAGGACTCCAAGATCTTTTTCACACGTACTGCTCTCGAGCCAGGCATCCCCCATTCTATATCTTTGCATTTCGTTTTTTCTGTCTAAGTGGAGTATCTTGCATTTGTCACTGTTGAACTTTATTTTGTTAGTTTTAATCTTTAGTAGTTATAGATCAGAACAGGCCTGATCTCCATAAATCTGTCTCATCTAAATATGGATTCAACTGCTTTGTATTTGGCTCTCCGACTTTTGTTGTTGTTGTTATAATGTTTATTTATACCTTACTTTTTATCTCCACCAAGGAGACTCCAAGTGACTATATACAACACTGAAGTTGAGAAGCAGATTATTATCCAGGGTTTGAAATGCAACCATTCTCTTTTCTGCTATCCACAGTGGAAAGTACCAAGTATAGAACATGTCTGGCACATAAATAGTTGAGGTTTCGACCTCTATCATTTCTAAGCCCTTTCTTATAGATTTGAAGTCAATAGATGATGATGGATACCCAAATTCCTACGTCAACTACCTGATAACTATAAACCAGGGGTCCTCAAATGTTTTTAAACAGAGGGCCAGGTCACAGTCCCTCAAACTGTTATAAGGCCAGATTATAATTGTAAAATTATAAAATTATATAATTGTAAAATTATAAAAAACATGAATGAATTCCTATGAACACTGCACATATCTTATTTGTAGTACAAAAAAACCCACTTAAAAATAATACAATAATTAAAATGAAGAACAAGTTTAACAAATATAAACTTATTAGTATTTCAATGGGAAGTGTGGGCCTGCTTTTGACTGATTAAATAGGATTGTTGTTGTTTTTGTGTGTCTTCAAGTCGTTTCAGACTTAGGTTGACCCTGAGTGAGGGCCAGATAAATGACCTTGGAGGACCGTATCCGGCCCCTGGGCCTTGAGGACCCCTGATATAAATGCTGCTGGGGACCAAAAAGTAGCTTCTGCTTGCCATCCCACTCACCTGCTTGGGGGGTATAGAAACGCTTGGAAGCCTCTGAGGACAGTGCAGGGCAACGAAGGACAAAAGCACGCAGACGCTGAACCACACAGGGCTGTAGGACCCACTGGCACTGGAACCGTCCCGACCACATCCTGAGATGGAGCACTGAGGGCAAAGAAGCAACTGAAGGAGGCAGGACTTGAATCCTTCTACTAATTCATTCATTAAGTTATGTGTGTCAATCACTCAAGCAAATACAAACAATAGCATATCTAGCTTTCTGTCTGTATACATACACATAGACAGATAGACAAATATATACAAATATATAATATACATATATTAGACACAGAGACACACAGCATATATGCCTGGCACTGCCCAAGTGTTGAAGGCAGAATATGGAAGTTCCTGAACAGACTCAAAAGTGAAATGGGCAAATCAAAAGACAACATGGCAAAATGGTGCTACCTAGAAGAATCCTAGAAGCACATCAAACAACTCTGCATCTGCATGCTTGTCCACAATGCCCTGCCTCATGGACAGAAGAAGAACTCTTAAAGCAACTGACAATGCAGTCGCTGTTTCCCATTTTTGGTCTAAAATTATTTAGCTGCTTGTGATCCCTTTCGTTTATCGGTTTTATACTAATTTATTTATGTAATGCTTTTGACACTATATATATATGTGTGTGTGTAACAATATATAATATTAATATTCTATAATATTAATCAATTATCTTATATATTAAGATTACATTATTAATATTATATCGTAAACGATGACATTTTGGCCACATCTATGGCAGGCATCTTCAGAGGTTGTGAAGTCTGTTGGAAACTAGGAAAGTGGGGTTTATATACCTGTGGAATGTCCAGGGTGGGAGAATGAACTCTTGTCTGTTGGAGGCAAGTGGGTATGTTTCAGTTGGCCACCTTGATTAGCATTTAATGGCCTAGAAGTTTTCAAGGATGACCTCTTACTGCCTGGGGGAATCCTTTGTTGAAAGGTGACTAGCTGTCCCTGATTGTTACTTGTCTGAAATCCACAAGTATGTGGACAATTTCAACATAAAGGAGGAAACCATGAAAATGAACAAAATCTGGCTACCAGTATTAAAAAAAACTCTAAAATTACAACAGCAAAGCAACGGAGAGGAAACAATCTGGGACCTCTAATCACCTCTTAACAAAAGATTGCCCCAGGCACTAACAAGCCACACCAAACAACAGCCAGGCCATCAAATGCTAATCAAGGCGATCAGTTGAAACACTCACACCTAGCTCCAGCAGACAAGAGTCCTTTGTCCCACCCTGGTCATTCCACAGATATATAAACCCTTTTTTCTAGTTCCAACAGACCTCACAACCTCTGAGGATGACTGCCATAGATGCAGGCGAAACGTCAGGAGAGAATGCCTTTAGAACATGGCCATATAGCCCAAAAAAACCTACAACAACCCAGTGATTCCAGCCATGAAAGCCTTCGACAATACAACAAAAATAATGTTATGGTTGGGGGTCACCACAACATGACGAATTGCATTAAGGGGTCACAGCATTAGGAAGGCTGAGAAACACTGATCCATATTGTAGAACCAATGCATTTTCTAACACTTAAACTGTCATGCCTCAATGCTATGGAGTTGTAGTTTGCACTCTTTGGCAAAGAAGGCTCATATCCTTATATAGCTACATCTTCATAGCCTTGAGCCTTGGCAGTTCAAGTAGTGTCAAACTGCATTCTTTCTATAGTGCAGATGCAACTTTTGAGCTGCAAAATATATGTTGTTTGCTTATTCAAGCCTTCACAGATATATTTGTTTCCCTTCGCCAATGTGCAAAAGTGTGGCAAAACATGGACTGGCTTTTTAGGAATGTGCATCTCATTCGCCTATTCTTTTCCATCATGAATTTTGAACCGTACCCAGAAGTGCATTTCTTTGGAGCTTTGGAGCTCTACGCATTTTCCAGCAAGTGCCAGTTGACCTTCATTCGAAGGTTTTTTTTGGAGGAGGACAGGGCCTCTACAATGTAGGTTTAATGCAATTTAACTATCATAGCCCAATGCTATAGAAACAAGGGCATTGTAGTGCGTGCTCTTTGGCAGAGAAGGCTTAAGTCTGTTTCAAACTACAACTCCTATGATTCCATAGCCTTGAGTAATGGTTGCTCCAGTGTTGCTCCCCTCAATGGACTATCACCTTGTCATGGTGAGGGGGCTTGTGTGTTCCAATGAACCTGCGGGTACAACGACTAGAGTCGTGCACTCCCAGGAGTGGCCGCGGAGGAGGTTCCAGACCAAGCACAGTCCGAAGACTCAAAGACTTCAACGGCAGAACAGGAGGAGGATAACATGGTACATGTTACAACAGCTGTGAAGGCAGAAGAGGGCTGCAACAGTTGTGTTAAACTACACCTCCAGTGGAATCTCATTCTGTGAAGACTGTGTGTTGATCAGTTGTGCACTGACCTCCAATCATTAAAAAAACTCACGCACAGGCGTCTTCCAAAGTAAATAAAAACAAACCAACCGAAGTCCCATGGCAATCAGCGAGTGGCGATGGGGGCAGGACTGTGAAATCTGGAAGCCCCTAGTCACAGACTGGCACATGGGCGGTGGATATGGACTCAGTCGTTCTACCTCAAGGCCCTCAAGGTCTGAGAACTGGGAAGCCTTGGCCCTTGAGCGCTCCAGCTGGAGGTCAGAGGCACGAATGGAGGGTTTTGTTGTTGTTGTTGTTGTTTTTTGTTGTGTCAGGAGCAACCGCTCCTGTTGTGAGAGAATTGGCCGTCTGCAAGGACGTTGCCCAGGGGATGCCTGGATGATTTTTGATATTTTATCATCCTTGTGGGAGGCTTCTCTCATGTCCCCGCATGAGGAGCTGGAGCTGATAGAGGGAGCTCATCCGCCTCTCCCCGGATTCGAACCTGCGACCTGTCGGTCTTCAGTCCTGCCGGCACAGGGGTTTAACCCACTGCGCCACCGGGGGCCCCAGAATGGAGGGTGAAAGAGAGAAGAGGAAGGCGCGTCAAGCCAACCCCGACTGAGACCGCCTTCCACCTGGAAACCAATGCCCTCACTGTGGGAGAAGATGCAAGTCAAGAATAGGGCTCCACAGCCACCTACGGATCCACAAGAATACTGATCATAGAACACTATCCTACTCATCCAATGAGGGATCGCCTAAGTAAGCTCCAGTGGTGCCAAACTGCATTCATTCAATGTCAACAACTTGCTATGGAAGCAAAGGTCAGCATGTTAAGCTAGGCTTCTAGGAGTCCAGGGTTCAAATCTCTTCTCAGGAGTGAACACTGGCAAGTCATGCTCTCTCAGCATCCAAGGCAGGCAACTTCAAACTGCCTCTGAACAAGTCTTGCCAAGAAACCCATTCCATAGATATATCAACATCTTGCCTAGTTTCCAACAAACCTCACGACCTCTGAGGATGACTGCCATGGATGCAGGCGAAACATCAGGAGAGAATGCTTCTGGAACATGGCCATATAACTCGGAAATACCTACAGCAACCATTCAAATATTTCAAGGACTTGGGACATTTTTTAAAGGCACCTTCATAGCCTTTCTTACCTGCTCGGCTATCCAAGTATATTCATAATATATTATATATATATTGAAGAATATATAGAAGTGGAGGAAGTTCAATTCCTGCCTTCTCCCTTTCTTAGTACGCCGCCATCTTGAAAGTGGGCACGCTGGCCAATTAAGGCGTCACAAACGCGTTTTGTCCCCTCCGAGGCGCCGTCGCCTGGCGACGCGGCACAGACAGAGAAAAGGGAGGGACGCTCGGTGACGTCACCGCCCGCCCCCGCACGTCGTCCAATAGGACGGGAGCGTCCTGGCACGTGGCCTGAAGTTAGCCAATCAGAGACCTCAACCGACTGCATGCAACAAGACGTTAGAAACGCCCCGCCCTCGATACCAGCGGCAGCCAATGAGAAGCCGAGCGTCGCTTTACGTTACTTTGCGTCGTTCATGTCCTGGCCAATCGGGAGCCGAGGGAGGTGGCGTCGCCGCTGAGGGGAGGAAAAAGAAGAGGCAGCAGGGTGTGTGTGTGTGTGTTTTTCCTTCCTGCTTCTGAGGGGAAAGCGAAAGAGGCGGCTGGCTGGCGCCGGGGGAGAGGCCCGAGATGCCGGTGCGGAGCGCCTGCCCAGGCTGCCCTCCTCCGGCAGCCAGCTCGGCCTCCTCTTCCTCGGCCTCTGCCCGGCTCGAGCCGCCGCCGCCCATCAACACGGCGCAGCCCGGCGTCAGCACCAGCCGCCTCTACAGCGGGGCCAAGTTCCGCGGGCAGCAGCGCTCCAAGGGCAACGCCTACGAGGTGGAGGTGGTCGTCCAGGTAGGTAGGCCTCACGCCTCTCAAGCAGGGGCCAGCTTGGGCCTACAACTCCAAAGGAAGCGGGCTGAGGATGTTAGGCATGGTGGGAGTTGTAATAATAATCATAATCTTAATAGGAGATGCCATCTGAACACGAGGAAGAACTTCCTGACTGTGAGAGGCGTTCAGCAGTGGAACTCTCTGCTTTGGAGTGCAATGTGCGGGGCTTTGACAAATGCAAGGCTGGGATTAAAATTGCTGGAAGAAATATTAACCTTAGATATGCAGATGATACCACTTTGATGGCCGAAAGCAAGGAGGAGCTGACGAGCCTGGGCCTACAACTCCAATGGAAGCGGGCTGGGGCTGTGAGGCATTGTGGGAGTTGTAATAATAATAATAATAATAATAAGCTTCATAGGATATTCCATCTGAACATGAGGAAGAACTTCCTGACTGTGAGAGCCGTTCAGCAGTGGAACTCTCTGGAATCACTAGGTTCTTGTGGGTTTTTTCGGGCTATAGGGCCATGTTCTAGAGGCATTTCTCCTGACGTTTCGCCTGCATCTATGGCAAGCATCCTCAGAGGTAGTGAGGTCTGTTGGAAATAGGAAAATGGGTTTATATATCTGTGGAATGGCTGGGGTGGGGCAAAGAGCTCTTCTCTGCTGGAGCTAGGTGTGACTGTTTCAGCTGATCACCTTCATTAGCATTTGAAGGCCTTCCTGAGCCTGGGAAAATGTTCTGTTGAGAGGTGTTAAGATGTGCCTGGTTGTTTCCGCGGGCAGCAGCGCTCCAAGGGCAACGCCTACGAGACGTATTATTTGAGAACACAGAAATGCTAGACCACTCCAACAACCACCATGTCAGACTACACAGAGAAGCCATTGAAATCCACAAGAAGCATGTGGAGAATTTCAACAGAAAGGAGGAGACCATGAAAATGAACAAAATCTGGCTATCATTATTAAAAAAACTCTAAAATCACAACAACAAAACAGCAGAGAGGAAACAACCAGGCACATCTTAACACCTCTCAACAGAACATTTTCCCAGGCTCAGGCAGGCCTTCAAATGCTAATGAAGGTGGTCAGTTGAAACATTCACACCTAGCTTCAGCAGAGAGCTCTTTGCCCCACCCCAGCCATTCCACAGATATATAAACCCATTTTCCTATTTCCAACAGACCTCACTACCTCTGAGGATGCTTGCCATAGATGCAGGCGAAAAGTCAGGAGAAATGCCTCTAGAACATGGCCCTATAGCCCAAAAAAAACCCTACAAGAACCTAGTGGAACTCTCTGCTTTGGAGTGCAATGTGCGGGGCTTTGACACATGCAAGGCTGAGATTAAAATTGCTGGAAGAAATATTAACCTTAGATATGCAGATGATACCACTTTGACGGCCGAAAGCAAGGAGGAGCTGAGGAGCCTTCTAAACCAAGGTGAAAGAAGAAAGTGCAAAAGTTGAGTTGCAGTTAAACATTTAAAAAAAAACCCCCAAGATTCTGGCAACCAGGCTGATTGACAACTGACAAATAGGGAGAAAACGTGGAGGCAGTGACAGACTTTGTATTTCTAGGTGCAAATATTACTTCAGACACAGACTGCAGCCAGGAAATTGTAAGACGCTTACTTTTTGGGAGGAGAGCAATGTCCAGTCTCGATAAAATAGTCAAGAGCAGAGACATCAGACTGGCAACAAAGATCCATTGCCTAGTCAAAGCCATGGTATTCCCTGTAGTCACCTACGGATGTGAGAGCTGGACCTTCGGGAAGGCTGAGCAAAGGAAGATCGATGCTTTTGAGCTGTGGTGTTGGAGGAAAGTTCTGAGAGTGCCTTGGACTGCGAGAAGATCCAACCAGTCCATCCTCCAGGAAATAAAGCCCGACTGCTCACTGGAGGGAAGGATACTAGAGACAAAGTTGAAGTACTTTGGCCACATCATGAGGAGACAGGAAAGCCTGGAGAAGACAATTATGTTGGGGAAAGTGGAAGGGAAAAGGAAGAGGGGCCGACCAGGGGCAAGATGGATGGATGGATGGCATCCTTGAAGTGACTGGACTGACCTTGAAGGAGCTGGGGGTGGTGACGGCCGACAGGGAGATCTGGCGTGGGCTGGTCCATGAGGTCACAAAGAGTCGGAGACGACTGAACGAATGAACAACAACACATCAGGTTGTACTTCGAATGATGAACTACTTTGACCACATAATGAGAAGACAGGAAAGCTTAGAGAAGACAATGATGCTGGGGAAAATGGAAGAAAAAAGAAAGAGGAGTGTGGTGGAGGCTCCTTCTTTGAAGGTTTTAAACAGAGGCTGGATGGCCATCTGTCAGGGGTGATTTGAATGCAATATTCCTGCTCCTTGGCAGAATGGGGTTGGACTGGATGGCCCATGAGTTCTCTTCCAACTCTTTCATTCTATGATTCTATATCTGTAGAATATATATTTGTATATATGTGAGTAGATCAATAGGTACCACTCCAGCGGGAAGGTAACGGCATTTCATGCGGTCATGCTGGCCACATGACCTTGGAGGTGTCTATGGACAAAGCTGGCTCTTCGGCTTAGAAATGGATATGAGCACCACACCCCAGAGTCAGACATGACTGGACTTAATGTCAGGGGACTACCTTTACGTGTATATATATACACACACACACACACACACCAGCCGTCCTATAAATATCTTGGCATACTACTCTTGGACAATATCAAGTGAAAAATTTGGTGAACAAAGAATACATCCAAAGAGTCAGAAAGGTTTTGAAGAGCAAATTAAATGGCGGAAATACAATCAAGGCTATCAACCCCTGGGCCATCCCTGTCATTAGATACACTGGGTTGTTGTAGGTTTTTTCGGGCTATTGGGTCACACCGTTTACAGAAAACCCACACACACAGATAGATATCTACATAAAAACTCCAACCATCACCCAAGTAAAAAAAGAAGCACAATTAAAGCCTTGGCAGACCATGCAAAAAGAATCTGCGAACCCCACCTCCTCCAAGATGAACTGAACCACCTCAACTGGGCTCTACAGGCCAATGGAGACTCCACCTCAGACATCAGAAGAGCTGAAAGACCGAGAAGAAGCCACGAGAGTAAAGACGCAGATCCACCCAGAGGAAAAGTGTTCTTGCCATACATCAAGGGAACCACTGACCGCATAGGGAAGCTGATGAGGAAACACAACATACAAACTATCTACAGACCCACCAAGAAAATCCAACAAATGCTACGTTCAGCAAAGGACAAGAGGGATCCTCTCACTTCTGCAGGAGTCTACCGTATACCATGCAGCTGTGGACAAGTCTACATAGGGACCACCAAACGCAGCAGCATTGCCCAAACACGAATCAAGGAACATGAAAGGCACTACAGCCAGGAAATTGGAAGATGCTTACTTCTTGGGAGTAGAGCAATGACCAATCTCGATAAGATAGTGAAGAGGAGAGACATCACACTGGCAATGAAGATCTGCTTAGTTAAAGCAATTGTATTCCCCGTAGTCACCTATGGATGCAAGAGCTGGACCACAAGGAAGGCTGAGCAAAGGAAGATAGATGCTTTTGAACTGTGGTGTTGGAGGAAAATGCTGAGAGTGCCTTGGACCGCAAGAAGATCCAACCAGTCCATACTTCAGGAAATAAAGCCCGACTGCTCATTGGAGGGAAGGATATTAGAGACAAAGATGAAGTACTTTGACCACATCATGAGAAGACAGGAAAGCTTAGAGAAGACGATGCTGTAGAGCCCAGAAAGCCCAGGGAAATATATTGATAGTGAAACTGCTATCCTTCAGGAGGCCATTTAAACCCTTTTTATTCAGACAGGATCAAAGAAGAAGGGGTTTAAGCTCATTGAGGGCTGCTGAGGTGTTATATTTCTTTAATGATGTTTAATACTGTTTTAATACTTGTATTTTTGCATATTTTAAGTTGTATTGCAATGCTTTTAGTTGTGGGCAGCTTTGTGTCTCCATGTGGAGAGAAAAAATGGGTTACAAATAAACATCATCATCATCATTGCAAGGTCCATAGTATTGAGCCTAGAAAGCCCAAGGAAAGGTATTTGATGGTGGAAGTGGTTAGAGTTGGAAGGAATCCTCAGGCATGATACAGTCCAACCCTTGGATTGTCATTTTCATTCTGTTCCTGGATTATGGACTTCGTGTCTGGACGTCCCCAGAGGGTTAGATTAGGGAATCATACCTCATCAACTCTCACTCTCAACATTGGGATGCCACAGGGCCGACTGTATATTGAGTCCTCTGCTTTACACGTTGTACACATATGATTTGCATCCCTGTCCACCATAGCAATATCACTACTAAATTTGCAGATGATACAACTGTGGTAGGACTTCTTATCTCTGAAGATGAATCTGCCTATCAGGATCAGGTGGATTGGCTGCTCTCATCGTGTAGGGACAATGATCTAGTTTTTAATATCAATAAGATCAAGGAGTTTATAGTGGGCTACAGAAAGAACAGACCCGACATTGAGCCCTTGGTCATAAATGAAGACCAAGTGGAGCAGGTGGCCAGTTTTAAGTTCCTGGGTATCACTGTTAAGGATGATCTGACATGGGGTGTTGGCCAAGAGGGCCCAGCAGAGACCATACTACCTGGGACTTCTAAGGAACCAACAACAGAATGCAAAAATCTGCTAGTGACTTTCTACCACTGTGCTATAGAGAGTGTCCTAACCTTCTGCATCTGCACATGGTTTGGGGGCTGGTTGGTGGTGGTAGAGGTGTGGAAGGATGAATGTGTTGTTTTGTCGTGTGTGCAGGGAAGGCATTTAATTTTTTTGTGCAATAGCACAATAACAATAAAGCTATTCTAATTTCTGCCAGACGAAGACACAAGATAAGCCCTCCCAACAGATGGCCATCCAGCCTCTGCTTTAAAAACTCCCAGAGACGGAGAGTCCAATGGACTCCCAAACAGAAGCAGATTCTGCTAGAGTTATAAAGGACCTCAAGGGTCATACACCCCAACTTTCTGCCAAGCAGACCCAATCCAAGCCCAACCTCTACTAAAAGACCTCCAGTGAAGGGGACTCCAACAGATTCCAAGGGAGTAGCATATTCCACAGTTAAACAGTTCTGTCAGGAAGTTTAACCTAATGTTTAGATGGGATCTCTTTCCTCCTCCTCATTGAGACATTCTTTCAAATATTTAAACATGGCTATTGAGTTCCCTTCTCTCCGCCTTCATTTTTTCAATCTAAACATACCCAGCTTCCTAAACGGCTCCTTGAAGGGATTTATAGTTTCCACACCTTTGTACAATATGATCTCCCTTCTTGGGACCCCTTCCATCTTATCTCCTGCTTGATTTGCTTGATCTTACAGTGTTTCTCAAACTGCTCTTCTGGGTGTTTTGGACTTCAGCTCCCACAGTTCCTAACAGCTGGTAAGCTGACTGGGATTTCTGAGGCTTGAAGTCCAAAACACCTAGAGGTGCAGAGTTTGAGAAACACTGATCTAGATATTGATCTAGAGTTATATTAATTGTATTGTTTATTTTGTTTATTGCTTGTTATTTATAATTGCTTGTTGTTTTTGATGTGCTGTTGGGCTTGGCCTCATGTAAGCCTCTCCGAGTCCCTTGGGGAGATGGTGGCAGGGTGTAAATAAAGTTATTATTATTATTATTATTATTATTACATTCCTGCAGATGCATCCTAGAATCACATTGGTCATTTTAGCTGCTGCATCACAATGTTGATTCATGTTCAGCTTGTAGTTAACTGAGACTTCTAGATCCCTTTTGCCTGGACGGTTTCATGGAATTCTTGAATTGCTTTGCACAGAACCGAACAGAGGGTTATTCCAGGTGCAGTCTGAACAAATCACAACAGAATGGGACTATGGCTTCCCTCCATCTAACAACTAGGCTCCTGTTGGTGCAGGCTAGAATTGCCTGGCCTTGTTTAAGTTCTGGCTTCTTGTCCTTCTCTTGTAGCAACTGTTCCCATGGAATCATAACTCGTTGGGAACATAAGATAATCCATCTACTAGGTTTTCTCTCTTTGCCACTTTCCCCATCATATAAAGCACCAAAGCGTTTCAGGTTGCAGTGAGCTTACAGTTAGGGAATCTGATCCATTTACTAAACCACACAAAAGCGCTATACTCCTCACACATTTTTTTCCTGGTAAATGTGACATAACAGGCTGCTTTTGCTCTGTAATCCCATCAGATGTGCCTGATGTTTAAGGCAGATGCAGTCTGCCATTAAGCAGAGCGAGGCAGCTTCAGGAAGCACATTTGAGGTGTCATGAAAGGGAAGCCAATTGCTAGTTATTTCCTGGGCTTTTAATTATTACAGCTAGGTGTTCTTGTGGGTGTTTTTGGCTCCTGGGTCAAAATAACTTGTTTGCCTTTGGATACAATGCATCTTGGCTGCGTAGGGTAGCATTGTATTTCCTATTCTACCTCAGGCAGCAAAATATCTTGGACTTTGTCATTTTCAGAGGAAATTCCATCTGAGGAAGCTTGAGAGGAGCTCAAGTCCACAAAGATGTTCTCAGCAGGATAAAATCTAATGAGTTCCTTCAGAAGTTTGATCCAGCAAAGCTGGCATTTCTCTTCTAGGATGCAGATGATGGCTTTGTTCATTTTCCAGAGAGTTCAGTATCCCTCTGTGTTCCCAGACTGGCATTCAGACTGGCACCATTTCACACACAGAATGGGAATGATGTGGCTTCCCGTTGTTTTGGGGGCCAAAGCACTGGCAAACCATGCCAACAGTCCTAACGTCAGGAGCCACAAATAGCACCCACTGGCCTTTGTCTTTCAGTTCTTCCTGCCATACTTATGTCGACAGGGCAGATGCATAACTTTCTTCCATTGCCTCCTGGAAGTCCTGCCAGAAAGGTTTTATCACCTCTTCAGGATAACCATGTGCTAACAGTGGGGGCTCTTGATGATTCATTTGTATTGAGCTACCTCGTTCTCTGACACGGTTCTGGATGGATAGATAAAAGATTACCAGAACAACATTAGCCATGTGTTCTGAATGGGTTTTGATATACAGAGCAGGATACGCCCCTGAATTCGAAAACCTAAGGTGCATTAAAGCAAGTATTTCCTTTTATGTCATAAGCAAGGCTTCTTTATACATCTTAGATACTGGGTCATGATGCTGAACATTTTAGATCCCTCTTTTTTACCTACTAAACTCCTCTTCTCTCCAATTAATTCTAGTCACTGGTCCTATTTCTTATTATTCAATCTAAAGCCTAGGTTGCTATATCTGGGGACAGAGTCATAGAAGACTTTTTGTTGTCCCTTTCAGCATGTGGACATGGAGAACTCCTATCTTTGTGGATACTTGAAGATTAAAGGCCTTACGGAGGTATGTACCTGATTCAAAGAATATCAAGCCCAATATGGTAACACTGCCTTAAAAATCATTTGTAAGGTCTTTGTGAAGACAGGGAAATTTGCTAAGTGCTTTGTGTTCACCGCCTTTCCTATCGTACTCCCTTGCAGGAATATCCGACCCTTACAACCTTCTTTGAAGGGGAAATAATCAGTAAAAAGCACCCATTTTTAACACGGAAGTGGGATGCAGATGAAGACGTAGATCGTAAACATTGGGTGAGTTCCTTGGCCGGGTTTCCATGGAGGAGGCAGTTGACATTTTGTGGCTGCTGGGCATAGCAAAGGGACTCTTTGTGATGGAATGAGCCACGCTGGGTCTCCATTCTGAGAAAATGGTGGGTTAAAATATTTTAAATTGGGTAGGACTTTGATGGGGCTTTCTTAGTCAAGAAAGTACTCAGAACTAGTTTTCCCATTGTTTCCCTTTGAAATTTATCTCACAGCTTTGGAGTTCCTAGTACTTTTGCCTTGCAGAAAGCTGTGACTCTAAAGTTAAAGTTACTGAGTAAATTGACTTCAAAGGGAGAATGAAGCTATAAAACTGATGAATTGTTCAATCCGAACATAACTTCTGTCTCTTATGACTCAAATAAGGTTTATTGGCTTAAACCCATGCCAGAACACTTCACCAACAGCTGTCCAGGGTATATTAATAACATTACTGTCATTGTATTCACTATGTTTTGTTTCCATTTGACCTTGCTGTTGGCTCCCTCTTACCTATACATACTTCACTTCAGGATAATGTTGTTTTTGTGAGATGGAAGTGGCCTGTATTCATAGTAAATTTGGACATCTTTCCAACACTTTCGTTTCCCCGTTACTTCCAGGGGAAATTCCCAGCCTTTTACCAATACGCAAAAACATTTAACTCTGATGACTTTGATTATGAAGATCTGAAGAATGATGACTTTGTCTTCATGAGGTGGAAGGTGAGTTCCTTTACATGGTCCCTTGCAGGAGGCCTCTGTAGCAGAGGCATTGGGACATTACGTGCCCCAACACCTCAACATTTCTGTTATCCCAGCCAGGCTGGAGGCATGTGTGAAACTATTCATATTCGGGCAGCTTTGTTCCTGTTCTGGAAATGGGTTATTAATCTTACTGTATAACTACCTCGTGTAAATAAACTGAAACTCTTTAGGGAGGAAATGTAACTCTTGTACTCTTTGTGAGGCTGCCCTTCAGAGGAGTCTTGGAGCAGCAGTTAGGGGCAAAATGCAGCACCTACATGGCTGTCCCTAGGCCTAAATACCCGAAAGGCACCAGATTTACTTAAAATGTAATTGGGATGTTTATATGTATGTGTGTGTGTATGTTGTGTGTGTGAACTCAATCGTGTCCACTCCATATGGCTTATTATTTTTTGTTCAGGAACAGTTCCTGGTCCCCGATCACACCATCAAAGATATCAGCGGTGCTTCCTTTGCCGGGTTTTATTACATATGCTTCCAGAAATCTGCGGCATCTATAGAGGGCTATTACTATCACAGGAGTTCAGAATGGTAAGAGGCCGCCTCCACTCGGAAGCATCATAAGTATGGCTTTAGGTAACTTTGGTTGGATTTTGAGTAAATTCTTGTTTCTTCCATTACAGCTTTTTCTCAAGCAGTAGCTATCAGTTTATGTTCCACAAGACTCTTATTTTTTCTTGAAAAGTTATGATAAAAACAAGCGAAAGGGCAGTTTAATTGTGCAAAAATCAGCAACAGTGAAGTTCTTGCCAAGTAACTGCTGGCTTTCCTTGCCCTGCAGTTTAAAGCTACAGTTTTTGCCTCTCTAAAGTTTCACAGTGAGTGTCATATATTTTTGTTAGTAGACTTGCCTTACATCTCGGGCCAGTCAAGTAGGGCCTCGTGGCCAAGCTCCCTGACCCCTTTGTATTACTCAAAGCACGTGCTGGTGTCTTTGTGTTGGGGACTGAGCTACATGTCTTGATTTATCAACACTAAACTTGTGTGCTTGCTGTGACCATACCTCAAAAAGTCTGGTTTGGCCACAGTGGTCCATGTCTTAGTTTCATCCAGAATGGAACACAGTAATGCACTGTACGTGGGGCTGCCTTTGAAGACGGTTTGGAAACTGCAGTTAGTACAAAGGTTAGCTGCCTTTGTACTAAGGCAGCCGATAATACCAACATGAAGAGAGTCCAATTATGAGAAACAGGGATGGAATCAAGAAAATCTAGCTATAGGAACATACTATGTCCCTACTCAAGCAGCTCCACTGGCTTCTGACAATTTTCTGGGCTCAATTCAAGGTTTAATCTACAAAGCTATATATGCTTCGGGTCCAACCTATCTTCGAGACTGCATCTCTTTCCATGAACTGGTGTGGGCTTTGAGATTGACAGAGGAGGCCTTTCTCTAGGTTCCACCACCATCTCAAGTGTGGTTGGTTTGGACGAGAGGGAGGGCCTTTTCTGTAGTGGCTCCCCGACTCTGGAATACCCTTCCAAACGAGATTCGGTTAATCCCCACACTTGATTTCTTCCGATCCAGCCTAAAAACATGGATTTTTAAGCTGGCTTTTGGCCTCAAGTAGGCCGAAATGGGCCCATATGAGGTTGACACTTCGGCACTTTAGTTGTGATTTGAAGGCAGTTAGTTTTAGTTTTAACCACAGATGGTCTGCATTTTAAACTGTTATTATATTTGTTTTTATTTTATTTGATGTGTTAATAGTGGTTGTTTTTATAACTTCTATGTGATACTGTTTCTATACTCATGTACTGTTTGTTACCATGCTGCACCATGGAGTGCCTTGTAAGCTGCCCCAAATCTCTTTTGGGGGATGGTGGTAGGATATAAATCAAGTTTATTTTTTTTATTTTTTTAAAAAACCTTACTCTATTTCTTGAAAATAAGCCCTTGTATGATTATTTTTCAGGATGCTCGTAATAGAACCCCTACCCCAAAAATAAGCCCCAGTTAAGATCGTCTACCAGATTGACACATTTAGTACGCCTCCTGCCATACACAACGACAGACATATTGAATTCTAAAATAATAATATTAATATATAATTGAATATAAATAAATCACATTATTGATTACTACATAAAATACATTGTAATTAAGTATTTGTAAATGCCCCAGTGGGTATCTTTGGACGAGAGGCTGGAATTTGGGGTTTGGAGAGTTAAAGACGATGTTCCAGAAGAAGTTGACATGACATAATTGGAATCAATATAGATGGTTATACAGTAGAGCCTCGCTTATCCAACCTTTGCTCATCCAACGTTCTGTATTAACCATTGCAACCTGCCTCTCACCTGGAATAATGTCCAGGGCGGGAGAAAGATAGAACCCTTGTCTGTTTTGGTGCTAAATTAGTAAAAATAGTAGTCTATATAAATAAAAATGTAATGTTTGTTTGTGGGATTAACAGAATTCAAAAACCACTGGACGAATTGACATCAAATTTGGACACAAGACACCTAACGACCCAATGTATGTCCTTCACTCAAAAAATTGATTTTGTCATTTGGGAGTTGTAGTTGCTGGGATTTATAGTTCACCTACAATCAAAGAGCATTCTGAACCCCACCAACGATGGAATTGAACCAAACAGTTCTCCCATGAGCAATAGAAAATACTGGAAGGGTTTGGTGGGCAGTGTCCTTTGGTTTTGGAGTTATAGTTCACCTACTTCCAGAGATCACTGTGGACTCAAACAATGATGGATCTGGACCAAACTCTACACGAATACTCAATATGGCCAAATGTAAACACTGATGGAGTTTGGGGAAAATAGAATCTTGACATTTGGGAGTTGTAGTTGCTTGGATTTATAGTTCACCTACAATCACAGAGCATTCTGAACCCCACCAACGATAGAATTGGGCCAAACCTCCCACACAGAACCCCCATGTGGCCCACAGCAACGCGTGGCAGGGGACAGCTAGTTACTACACAACATTACTGTGTATTGAACTGCTTTTTTTCTGTTGAATTATTGTTAAACATGTTTTGGTGCTTAATTTTTAAAATCATAACATAATTTGATGTTTAATAGGCTTTTCCTTAATCCTTCCTTGTTATCCAACATTTTTGCTCATCCAATATTCTGCCGGCCCATTTATGTTGGATAAGCGAGACTCTACTGTACATGAAAAAAAGACATCTCCTGAAAATAAGTCTCAATGTGTCTTTTAGAGAAAAATTAAAATAAGACCCAGTTATTTTGGGGGGAGGGGGATATGGTTGTAGAGGGTTTTAAAATAACATATCTAGGAGCACGCAGCTCAGTTTGTTCTATTGAGACCCTTTGTGCTTTCCTCCCTCAGGTATCAGTCCCTGAATTTGACGCACGTCCCTGAGTACAGCGCGCCCATTTACGAATTCCGGTGACGGCGATACCGAGAGCGGCACCAGGAGATGGCCCGCGAGGCCAGGGAGAGAGAGCAAAAGAGAGAGAGAGATGGAGAGAGAGAGCATGCTCTGCTAAGACAACTGTGACGCCCCTGTCAGGACAGGAGGCTCAGGGCTCTCCTCCTTCCAGGCCACTGGACTGGTGAAAGAGCATGACTGCGGAGCTGCCAGAGAATGACTCTCCTCCAGCTGTGTGGCAAATTTGATACTCTGAGCGGGTTTTTAAAGCTACCATTTTGATGCACTTTTTCTTTTTTGGTATTGCACAGCTAATCTCTTTTTCTTTTTATATAATTTTCCCACCCACAGTCCTCTRTTCCTGCCCCCTTTTTGGGAGAAGGAAATGGCTGTGCTGAGCTGGGTTTTCCTTTGAACGCGAGGAAGCCAAASTTGCCGCCTGCTTGTGCCCATCCAAGCTTTGGGTTTTCTCTTTAATYCCCACATAAGAGGGTGGAGGAGGGCTTGTCAAGCTGTGTTGCTATTGGCTGACAAGGCTGCCTCTRTCAGGAATGTCAGCCAGTCCCAAGCCATTMGGCTTTGCAAAGAATATGGAAGGAAGACAAAAAATAATAACAACCCACCGAGGACTGCTTTTCAAAAGCACTTGAGTGCTATTCCAATAGCCTGTCTTTTCCAAAGACTAGGAATTCTTCCTCATTACAGTTTTACCGTGTTTTTTTAAAAATTGAAAGTCGGTGATGGTGGTGATCTATCTGTGTAAACAGCTTCGCAGTGTTGCCACCTGCTCATCCCAGACTTTAGTGGTGGCTCCTAACATGCGCACATGCTACGGAAAATATTTGATGTTCGCTGTCAGAGAAAAATACTTTCCGTTCAAAATAATAACAGTAATAATAAACTGCTCTTCTAGGACTTTAAACTGTTCCATAACATCGGGCTCGTGTGCCAAAGTGTGTGTGGGGCCTGTGTGTGTCTCTATATGCATGCTAGTCAAGCAGTTTCTGTATTCTTCCAAGCTGCTACTATCCATGGAGAGATGAGCTGACCTGTTTTTTGGATGGCAGACACGATCCTGCTGTTAGATTTGCAAGGCGAGAATGCGGCTGGATCTACACTGTCATATAATCCAGTTCAAAGCAGATAATCTGGGATCAGAAACTGGATTAGATGGCAGTGTTGATGGGGCCTGAGATGTTCAGTCCTTCGCAGAAAAAGGACTAGCCCTTTGCAAACCTTTTTCCTCCACCCTTGGAGGTTTCTGGTATTTATAGGATAGTCTAACATAACACTGGCAAGAGAGTGTGGCCAAAGGCGAAGCCAGATCATGGCTGCTATGATTTCACTCTTATCTGACTTCTATGGTAGCCTCATTGCTGTTCCTATTGGTTCACTCTTGAGAAAGTAGCTATGGTTGGCTGAGCTGCCTCTGTGTTTGCATCCCAAGGCCTCATGTGAGCTTTGATAGTGACAAGATGCAATGAAGCTGATCTTCAGGTTGCGATACTGAGTTCACTTTTTGTTGTTCTAGTGGAAAGAAAGCAGGTTTCTAGTCCTCAAGAAAGCATGGATGCTTCAGAAGGCAGAGAGACAGCTGGATAAAGTGTCCAGGGGAAGTGGTGGGAAAATCTCCCTTGTCATGCTTAGCTCCTTGTTTTGTTTTTCCCTTTGGCTAGTAAACATAACTTAGTAAGGAAAGATAAAGCAGTGTGCTGGCATTCCTTGAAGAGATGGCAGAACTCCTTCTTCCACGTTGCAGATTACCATATAATGTTTTCATGGTGCACATTTTCCAGAGCTAGGCAGCAGAGTGGGGGAGAAGAAGCCAGGCCCTAATTAGTCTTGGAATTGCTACCTTTTACCCCCTTTTAGTGCGGGCTTCTAGTTTGCATTCCTTTTCCAACTATCTGCTGTGAGTTGCAGTGGCTACAAGCACTGACCCAATGTGGATCTTGGTTGTTGTGTAAGCATTAGAATAAATGCTTGCTTTAGTTGCTGGAAGGAGAGGGCTGTGGAAAGCAAGATTTGGAAGCAATCTCAATGTGGAAGCTTTTCAAAGGAGAGAAGCGACAACATTTTGCTCCATTCTGGTAGTCATCGTCCAGTCAGATGCATGGGATTTCTTCCCTAGAAAAGGAACCTTGGGTTTGCTTTGTGGATGGAAATTCTGTGGCAGACTGGCTTTTGATCCTGATCCCCTGTGATAAGGAGATGAGATGGGGCTTCTGTACATAGAAATGAGGATAGTTTTGGCTGGGTCTGTGTTCCTTTCTGCTGCTTTTTTTGGTCCATAAAACAGCTGCCCACGCACAATTTTGGAGGTTCTTGAGTGCCTCAAGGCTCCTATTCCAGATTATCTCTCCATATTGAACCTTTCCTGCTCTCTCTCTCTCAGGCTCTGTGCAGAGAAATGGAACTGTGCCTTCATTTGCTTTAGCTTAAAGGGGACACAATGTGTCCTTCTCTCAACCCCAAGTTTTCAAAGGATGCTTATTCAAGGAGGAAGCAAGTGATTTCTTGGAGAGGATAACTGGGGTTATCTAAACGCGTTTGGCTTCTTAATAAATTAAAAGAGGGAGCCCACATAAGTTTAGTTTTCTTCTAAAGGAATTGCAGTGTGAGGAAAAGGAAACCCTTGAGTAGGGAACTAAGCACTTGGTGGATGGAGCCCATCTCAAACTACGTATGTTTTGCTTTGAATTTGGGGGTAAATTTAGGGCCAACAGAAGTCCTTTCATTTTGCCTATTTTATTGGACTATATGGAGCCAAAGGTGACACATAAGATGTTGTATCTTGCCTTTTAAGGTTTGGGGATTTCTTTTATTCTTTTTGAAGTTAAAGGAGTTAGAGAGCACGATACTATTGTGATGTTGGATGTGGTTGCAAAGTCTAAATGCAAAAAACAAAACAAACTGGAGCGAGGAGGCAGCATGGACAGAGCTTTTTAGGATGCTTCAAGTCCAGTTTATAAATTCTAACTAACCCAGCAGGCTGGAGAATGCTTTGAAACCTCTTCTCTGCCCTCGAATCAAAGTGTGATATGTTTGTTTCGAAATGGTAAAGGTAAAGGTTTCTCCTTGACATTAAAAGTCTAGCCATGTCTGACTCTGGGGGGTGGTGCTCATCTTCATTTCTCAGCTGATTAGGTGCCGTCCATAGACTCCTCCTAGGTCATGTGGTTGGCATGACTGCATAAAGCGCCATTATCCTCCCACCAAAGCGGTACCTATTGATCTACTCACATTTGCATGTCTTCAAACTGCTAGGTTGGCATAAGCTGGGGCTAGCAACAGAAGCTCATCCCATCCTACGTATTGGAACCACTGACCTTCAGGTCAGCAAGTTCTGCAGCTTAGCGGTTTAACCCACTGTGCCACCATGGCCCCGTTGCTTCGAAATGGTAGCAACCTGCTAACGGGTATCTCTCTAAAGACATTTAGAATGCAAAGAGCCCTTTGCATTAGATCACCCACACATCAGGATTTCCTCTTCCCAGACAAGCCTTGCATTATATTAAAACTGGTCCAATGTCGAAGCAAACGATGCTCTGAAAAGCTTCCAAGAAACCTAAGATGCATTCTTTGGAAAATATGGTGCCCATTCTCTACTTTTGTACTAGACATAACAGATAAAATGGAGCAAACAGGTGCTGCTGTTTTTTCCCTTTGCTTTTTAAGGGCAGGTCTCTTCCCCCCCCCCCCCTTCAAGTCTTGAACTTCCAATTTTTCCCCCTCTTTCAATGAATAATCGGATGTTAAAACAAAGGGGGCTTCATGGACACAGGTCCTACAGAGCGGGGCTTGTCACAGGCAGAAGAGTTTTCATGGGGGGAATCTTCCAAAAGCTATTAAAACAGGTTTTATAAAGCTAACTTTGTAAATCGGAATATTTGAGAGTATTTATGGATGAATGGCCGAAAAGGGACTGTGAGTTTTCCAGAGTTATCAGTGTCCAGATTAAAAGAACATGTATTTAATGAGGCTGCGTGTCTTCTGTGTTATCTAGCAACTTGTCAGAATGGGTTTTGCTCAATAACTTATTTTTCATTTTTAAAAGAAATTTCTTAAAGATGGAAGTTATGGACAGAATGAAGTGGTTTACAGATGGATGGATGGATGGATGGATGGATGGATGGATGGATGGATGGATGGATGGATGGATGGATAGATAGATAGATAGATAGATAGATAGATAGATAGAATCAAGAGGTACACTGATAGATAGATAGATAGATAGATAGATAGATAGATAGATAGATAGATAGATCTTCTACTTTCTCCTCCAGAATAATTATTTTCTTATCTTACATACATGTATCCCTAAAACTCCTATGGCAGTTCAGCTGGTATGAAACAACATTAATTGTACAGTGGAGATGTGCCCATGGGGTGTAGTTTGTGTTTTAAAGCAACAATTCAAATTGGAAGAAAAGAAATGCCACCTAAACATTTCCTTCTCTAAAATCCAGAGCCTGACTCAAACAAGTCCAAGGATATGTTGATTGTTTTAATCTACAATGATAGCTCTAGCCATTGTTGTTGTTGTATTGTCGAAGGCTTTTATGGCCGGAATCACTGGGTTGTTGTACCTTTTTCAGGCTGTATGGCCATGTTCCAGAAGCATTGTCTCCTGATGTTTCGGCTGCATCTATAGCAGGCAGGTGGTCAATTGCAATATTCACATTTGCCTCAAAACAGTCAAGAGTTCTTTCTCCCACCCTGGACATTCCATAGATATATAAACCCCATTTTCCTAGTTTCCAACAGACCTCACAACCTCTGAGGATGCCTGCCGAAACGTCAGGAGAGAAGGCTTCTGGAGCATGGCCATACAGTCTGAAAAACTTACAACAACCCATTGTTGTTTATTAGTTCAATCTCTTGAACTAATGGATCCACCTGTACCAGAGCTTCCTGTTGGTGATCACCATCCCCAGCTCCTTCAAGGTCAAGCCAGTCACTTCAAGGATAACATTCACCCATCTTGCCCTTGGTTGGCCCCTCTTCCTTTTTCCTTCCATCTTCCCCAGCATCATTGTCTTCTCTAAGCTTTCCTGTCTTCTCATGATGTGGCCGAAGTATTTCCTCTTTGCCTCTAATATCCTTCCCTCTAATGAGCAGTCGGGCTTTATTTCCTGAAGTATGGACTGGTTGGATCTTCTTGTGGTCCAAGGCACTCTCAGAATTTTCCTCCAACATCAAAACTAAAAAGCACCCATCTTCCTTCGCTCAGCCTTCCTTTTGGTCCAGCTCTCACATCCATAGGTTACTATGGGGAATACCATTGCTTTTATTATTATTTATTATTTACAGTATTTATATACTGCTTTTCTCACCCCTAGGAGGACTCAAAGTGGGTCTTTGATGTCTTTACTCTTCACTATTTTATTGAGATTGGTCTTTGCTCTCCTCCTGAGAAGTAAACATCTTCTGCTTTCCTGGCTGCAATCTGTGTCTGCAGTAATCTTTGTGCCCAGCAATACAGAGTTTGTCACTGCCTCCACGTTTTCTCCCTCTATTTGCCAATTATCAATCAGTCTGGTTGCCATAATCATAAACTCTTGCCATAATAAGGAGTTAAAACTACGATGGTGAAAACAAGAGTGCTTTTAAAGCAGCCTTTGCAATGCAAAAACAGATTAAAACATAGGAAAGGTAAGGTAAAGGTTCCCCCTGAAACCTCTGAAGCAGTTACAGAAACTCAGAACCACTAAATGGGTATGAGAACTAAGGCCCATCTACACTGCCATATAATGCAGTTTCAGAATGCAGATTAACAGCATTGAATTGGATTATGTGGCAGTGCAGACTCATATAAAGGTAAATATTGTCCCCTGTCATTAAGTCCAATCGTGTCCGACTGTGGGTTGGTACTCATCTCCATTTCTAAGCTGAAGAGCCAGCGTTGTCCATAGACACCTCCAAGGTCATGTGGCCGGCATAATTGCGTGTAGCGCCATTACCTTCCCTCAGAAGCAGCACCTATTGATCTACTCACATTTGCATGTTTTCAAACTGCTAGGTTAGCAGAAGCTGGGGCTAACAGCGGGAGCTCACCCCTCTCCCCAGATTCAAGCCTGCACTCTTTCGATCAGCAAGTTCAGCCACTCAGTGGTGTAACCCACTCTGCCACATAGGTAAAGGTTTTCCCCTGACATTAAGTGCAGTAATGTCCGACTCCGGGGGTTGGTGCTCATCTCCATTTGTAAGCTGAAGAGCCGGCGTTGTCCATAGACACCTCCAAGGTCTATGGACCTTACCCTCCCACCGGAGCAGTACCTATTGATCTATTCAAATTTTCATGTTTTCAAACAGTTAGGTTGGCAGAAGCTGGGGCTAACAGCGGGAGCTCGCCCCTCTCCCCAGATTCAAGCCTGCACTCTTTCGGTCAGCAAGTTCAGCAGCTCAGTGGTGTAACCCACTCTGCCACATAGGTAAAGGTTTTCCCCTGAGATTAAGTGCAGTTGTCTGACTCTGGGGGTTGGTGCTCATCTCCATTTGTAAGCTGAAGAGCCGGCATTGTCCATAGACACCTCCAAGGTCTATGGACCTTACCCTCCCACCGGAGCAGTACCTATTGATCTATTCAAATTTGCATGTTTTAAAACTGCTAGGTTGGCAGAAGCTGGGGCTAACAGTGGGAGCTCACCCCACTCCCCAAATTCAAACCTGAGACCTTTCAATCAGCAGCTCAGTGGTTTAACCCACTGCCACAGATAGGCGATAATAAAATCATCATCATTACTATTATTATTATTATCATTATTATTATTATTATTATTATTATTATTACTATTATTATTATCATCATTATTATTGTTATTATTATTATCATTATTATCATTATTATTATTATTATCATTATTATTATTATTATCATTATCATTATTACTATTATTATTATCATTATTATTACTATTATCATTATCATCATCATCATCATTATTATCATTATTATTATCATTATCATTATTATTACTATTATTATTACTATTATTATCATTATTATTATTATCATTATTATCATTATTATTATTATCATTATTATCATTATGTGGGAGGCTTCTCTCATGTCCCCACATAGGAAGCTGGAGCTGACACACAGGAGCTCACTTCGTCACATGGATTCATGCAAAAAGGCATGAGTTGGCAAATCAGGAAAGAATGGAAATAAAGGAAAGGAAAAGAAAGACAGACATGAAAACGTATGGCCAGTATGGGAACTGAGAACTAAGATGTGTCAGTGTTCTCATAATTAATAACTGTATTATAAACTATGTAAAGTAAGATATGAGCAAATCAGATAACATCCTAGATCTGTGCATCTAGAATCTGTTTTTTCTTTGTTCACAACTGAAAACTTGCACTGTAACCACTGTATCAGGCTTCAAAGGAGACCTGATCTATAATCTTCCAACTGATTCCAAGTATCAGTAATATATAATTAATATTCTAAGATGCAAAGGAGTGTCTTCAAGGTGATCTAACCATGGGGACATGCTAATTTTATTGCAGCTGTAAATGGAATGCAGATAAAAATAATATCTTTTCCATATTGTTTGACTAGATAGATCAAATCAAGTCAAATAATATTTGTAGTCACCCCAGGGAAGATCCAGAAGGACATATTACTGCCACTACTGAGCATTACCCAGAACAAGCTAGATATGTCTTGAATATAAAGTGAAGTGCTGAAGCAGACTTTGGACAGAATATAATGCTGTGTTTTGTTTGTTCACAACTTCAGGTTCTGAAATTCCACCTTACGGTGAAGAATTTTAGCTGAAAAACGCAATGGGGAAATACTTTCTTCCATGTATGCTGCTGCCTCTAGGTAACCATGATATTAGAGAGAACAGAGTTGAAGCGCCAATTTACAAGCAATTCCTAGACATTCTATCTCCCTTCTATTAAAATTTGAAGAGTGGCAATTACTGTTTTCTAGCCAACATCAAAAGCATTCTTGGAATACAAAAGGTTTAATTTGGTGAGAAATGGTATAATTGGAATTGGAAACAATGGAAGACTAGATAATAGATTTAATATTCATAGTTGAAAGCTTCAATAAATCATCTGTGAAGTTGCCATAAAATGGGTTCTATCTATTTGGAGCTAGGGTGAGATAAAGAAGAAATTGTAATCTGGAGAGCAATAGTGATAAAGTATTTTCAGTGTGGTCCTTTCAGGCTTAACAATCTTGCTGGGAGAAAATCAAAAAGATACTAGGATACCTTATAGAACCCAAGCTAGGTAATTGATTGGCCTGGTTTATGAAGCTGCTTCTTTATAGATGGGTTTAATGTTGAATTATTGCAATACTGCATCAACATTGCACCAATAAACTAAGGAACTGGCAAAAAAAAATCATCATCATCATCATTATTATTATTACTTACTTACTTACTTACTTACTTAGGCGATCCCTCGTTGGACGAGTAAGATGGTCTTCCATTATGGATTTCCTTGTGGGTCCGTATGTGGCTGTGGAGCCCTATTCTTGCTCTGCATCTTCTTCCGCAGTGAGGGCATTGGTTTCCAGGTGGAAGGCGGTCCCGGTCGGGGTTGGCTTGACGCGCCTTCCTCTTGGCACGTTTCTCTCTTTCACCCTCCACTCGTGCCTCCTCAAATTCTGCAGCACTGCTGGTCACAGCTGACCTCCAGCTGGAGCGCTCAAGGGCCAGGGCTTCCCAGTTCTCAGTGTCTATGCCAGAGTTTTTAAGGTTGGCTTTGAGCCCATCTTTAAATCTCTTTTCCTGTCCACCAACGTTTCGTTTTCCGTTCTTAAGTTCGGAGTAGAGCAACTGCTTTGGGAGACGGTTGTCAGGCATCCGGACAACGTGGCCGGCCCAGCGGAGTTGATGTTGGAGGACCATCGCTTCAATGCTGGTGGCCTTTGCTTCTTCCAGCACACTGACGTTTGTCCGCTTGTCTTCCCAGGAGATTTGCAGGATTTTCCGGAGGCAGCGCTGATGGAAACGTTCCAGGAGTTGCATGTGACGTCTGTAGACAGTCCACGTCTCACAGGCATATAGCAGGGTTGGGAGGACAATAGCTTTATAACAAGCACCTTGGTATCCCTACGGATGTCCCGGTCCTCAAACACTCTCTGCTTCATTTGGAAAATGCTGCACTTGCAGAGCTCAGGCGGTGTTGTATTTCGGCGTCGATGTTGACTTTGGTGGAGAGGTGGCTGCCAAGGTAGCGGAAATGGTCCACATTTTCTAATGTGACACCATTAAGCTGTATTACTGGCATTGGAGAGGGATTGGCTGGCGACTGCTGGAACAGCACCTTGGTTTTCTCAATGTTCAGTGACAGGCCGAGCTTCTCATATGCTTCTGCGAAGGTGTTTAGAGTGGCTTGTAGATCTTCTTCTGAATGCGCACAGACGACGTTGTCATCAGCATACTGGAGTTCTATAACAGATGTTGTTGTAACCTTGGTTTTGGCTTTCAGTCTGCTGAGGTTGAATAGCTTGCCATCTGTCCGATAGATTAATTCCACTCCGGTGGGAAGCTTCCCATCAACAAGGTTTATTATTATTATTATTATTATTATTATTATTATTATTATTATTATTATTATTATTATTATTATTATTATTATCATCCAAAGCTGAAGGGAGAGGATGAGCATGGCATTTCCAGAACAGGAAAAAGGCGGAACCAAAAGTCCTCGTCGGTGGTTGTCGAGGGGGGCTCATAAGCGCGACGGACCTATGAAGGGAAAGCGACTTCCGGGAGCGCTACTTCCGGTGTGTTCTTGCCCACTTTGCCAGCCGCCACGATGGGGATCCTGGAGAAGATCGCGGAGATCGAAAAAGAGATCGCCCGGACCCAGAAAAACAAAGGTGGGGATCCTAAGGGAAGTGGAAATGGGGAAGCAGAAGCCCACCCACCCCAAGTGATGAAGGGTCTGGAGAACAAGCCCTATGAGGAGCGGCTTAAAGAGCTGGGCATGTTTAGCCTGAAGAAGAGAAGGCTGAGAGGAGACATGATGAGGGCCATGTATAAATATGTGAGGGGAAGTCATAGGGAGGAGGGAAGGAAACTTGTTTTCTGCTATCCTGGAGACTATTTATTTATTTATTTGGGGTTCTAATACAGGAAAGAGGAGATTCCACCTGAACATTACTAAGAGCCCTTCAAGCAGTGGAACTCTCTGCCCCGGAGTGTGGTGGAGGCTCCTTCTTTGGAGGCTTTGAAACAGAAGCTGGGTGGCCATCTGTCGGGGTGCTTTGCGATTTTCCTGCTTCTTGGCAGAATGGGGTTGGACTAGATGACCCACCAGGTCTCTTTCCCATGCAGGGACAATAGCTTCAAACTACAAGAAAGGAGATTCCATCTGAACACTAGGAAGAACTTCCTGACTGTGAGAGCCATTCAACAGTGGAACTCTCTGCCCCAGAGTGTGGCGGAGGCTCCTTCTTTGGAAGCTTTTTAGCAGAGGCTGGATGGCCATCTGTCGGGGGGGGATTTGAATGCAGTATTCCTGCTTCTTGGCAGTAAGGGGTTGGACTGGATGGCCCATGAGGTCTCTTCGAACTCTATGATTCTATTTCGGCTTCTTCACCTGTTGCCCATCTGCTTGGGCCAAATGCATTGAAATGAGGGATTTTAGACACTGTACTAAACATTCCGACATATATTATTATTCTTCTATTTTCTTTTGAAGTGATGTTTTAAGTGTCTTTTGTGTGGGTTTTAGCTATATTGCCATAAGTGGCTGTTTCTCTCTATCCATAAAGGCAAGTGAAGAATAGTAGTGATTATAATAATAGATATTATTATTATTATTATTATTATTATTATTTGTGAAATTAGGAGGTGGCTGCAATTGAATATCTTTTTTATGTATTATTTATTTATTTATTTGCTTCACTTGTATACCGCTCTTCTCAGCCATCAGGCGACTCAGAGCGGTTAACAACCAGTATCAACAATACAATACAAAATCATTAATCATTTAAAACAGTAATATCCATTAATTAACATCAGAACATCAATACAACAATACAGGAAAACAACAATCCATCACGTCTCATCAATAGAATCAGCATCCAATCTCGTTGTCCATTAATCCATATTCCAGTAATCAATCAATTGCACTGCTTAGTTGAAAGCCTGTTCGAAGAGCCAGGTCTTCACTCTCTTCCGGAATGCCAATAAGGAGGGGGCCGATCTAATGTCTGTAGGAAGAGCGTTCCACAGCCTGTCTCTCGTCCCCGCCAGGCGTGCTTGTGAAGCCGCGGGACCGAGAGCAGGGCCTCCCCAGACGATCTTAACGTCCTAACTGGTTCATAGGAGGAGATGCGTTCGGACAGATAGGTCGGGCCAGAACCGTTTAGGGCTTTAAAGGCTAAAGCCAGCACTTTAAAGGCTAAAGCCACCAAGTTTGCCTATACCAGGCATAGGCAAACTTGGGCCCTCCGGGTGTTTTGGATTTCAACTCCCACAATTCCTAACAGCCAGTAGGCTGTTAGGAATTGTGGAAGTCCAAAACACCCGGAGGGCCCAAGTTTGCCTATGCCTGGGTTATACTTTAAGCTATAATTTTAAACTGGCATTTTATTGGTTGAATTGTTTTCTAATGTGTTTTATTTTTTGTCTTATGTCTATGGGTTTTTAATAGTTTTGTTTTTTTCTGCTTTAGTTTAATTATGTTGTAATTTGCTTTGGTCCTCAAGGAGAGGAGGGTTAGAAGTGCTATTGTTGTTATTGTTGTTGAGACATATCTGAAGTTATGAAGGAAAGAAACCAAATAATCAAGGACAAATAATAATAGTAATTGAGACATATGTATGGTTTGAATCTATGAAGGAAAGAAAGCAAAATAGTCAAGAAGAATAAATAATAATAATAGTAATTACAACATATGTATGGTCTGAATCTATGAAGGAAAGAAACCAAAATGGTCAAAAAGAAGAACAAATTATTATTATTATTATAATAATAATAATAATAATAATAATAGAGACATATGTATGGTTTGAATTTATGAAAGAAAGAAAGGAAAATAGTCAAGAAGAATAAATAATAATAATAATAATAATAATAATAATAATAATAATAATAATAATAATTACAACATATGTATGGTCTGAATCTATGAAGGAATCAAACCAAAATGGTCAAAAAGAAGAACATATTATTATTATTGCTATTATTATAATTGGGACATATGTATGGTCTGAATCTATGAAGGAAAGAAACCATAATAGGAAAAAAGAAGAACAAATTATTATTGTTATTATTTAAAACACAGCAAAATGAGTCCACAGCAGACACTGCTGGTTGTTGTATTGGATCACACATCGGACACTTCCCAAGTGTCTAGGACTGTGTGATATATACGCGAATTATATTATTATTATTATTATTGAGACATATGTATGGTCTAAATCTATAAAGGAAAGAAAGTAAAATAGTCAAGAGGAATAATAATAATAATAGTAATAGAGACATGTACGGTCTGAATCTATGAAGGAAAGAGAGCAAAATAGTCAAAATGAAGAAATTATTATTATTATTATTATTGAAACATACGTTTGGTCTAAAGCTATGAAGAAAAGAAACCAAAATACATGAAGAAGAACTATTATTATTATTCTTATTATTATTAGAGGCATATGTCTGGTCTGAAGATATGAAGGAAATAAAACCAAAGAAGAACAAATTATTATTACTACTATTATTGAAACATATTTCTAGTCTGAATTTATGAAGGAACTAAACCAAAATAGGTCAAGAAGAAGAACAAATTATTGTTATCAGTAGTAGTAGTAGTAGTATTCACAAGGATTTATTATGAAAGAACCGATCTAACTTTAACTTACAATTCACATATATAAAGGTCAAAGTATGTGTGTATGTTGATGGGTTAGTTTCAACCACAAAGGCTCCTCCATGACTTAATGGATCTGAACCAAACTTGTTCAACTTAAAATAATGGAGGGGTTTGGACTAAAAGGACCACCCCTTTCAGGCACAGAGTTATATACACAAATGGAAAATAAACCTGGCGTGCTGCCTCACTGATGGCCCTGTTTTTGTCCTTTCTAGCGACGGAGTACCACCTTGGCTTGCTGAAGGCCAAGCTGGCCAAGTACAGAGCCCAGCTTCTGGAACCGTCCAAATCAGCTGCTGCGAAAGGCGAAGGCTTTGATGTGATGAAGTCGGGAGACGCCCGGGTGGCACTGATTGGTTTCCCTTCTGTGGGTAAGGTCAGTGACAGCAGGGAAAGTCATGTTCCTCTCTCCATTGTTACTGCATTTCCTTGAGGCTAATGCACAGCTGAATGCAAGGTGCACCTCTATCTTCAAAATCCTGAAACCAGAAAAACTATTTGCTCCTGAATGCAATGTGCAGTGGCAAAAAATGTTCTTTTTTTGCCAGAGCAGTCGGTTTACAAGAATGAAGTGATAATTTATTATTTCATTTATTTATTTCGTGTGCTTATACCCCGCCCTTCTCAACCCCCGAGGGGGGACTCAGGGCGGCTTACAAAAGGCACATCTTGGTGCCTACACAAATACAATAACATATAAAACCAGCAATTAAATAGTCAACAATTAAAACACTTAAAAACAACAATATATCACACAATCAATAGCCAATCTCAGACACAGCATTCACCAACTCAGAGTTCATATTTCGTTCCACCTTGTCCAACTATCCATCGTCACAGTCCCTTGTTCAACTGCCAGAGTGCCCAAACGCCTGGTCCCACATCCACGTCTTTAATTTCTTTCTGAATGAAAGGAGGGATGTTGCTGATCTGATATCCCCGGGGAGTGAATTCCATAGGTGAGGGGCCACCACTGAGAAGGCCCTGCTCCTCGTCCCCGCCAATCTCACTTGTGACAGAGGCGGGGCCGAGAGCAGGGCCTCCCCAGAGGATCTCAGACTCCGAGATGGGACGTAGAGGGAGATGCATTCGGACAGATACGCTGGGCCGGAACTATAGGGTTTTGTAGGTCAAAACCAGCACTTTGAATTGTGCTCGGAAGTGGATCGGCAGCCAGTGGAGCTGACATAGCAGGGGGTGGTATGCTCCCTGTATGACGCTCCGGTGAGCAATCTGGCTGCCTCCCGCTGGACTAATTGAAGTTTCCGAACAGTCTTCAAAGGCAACCCCACGTAGAGTGCGTTGCAGTAATCTATCCGGGATGTAACAAGAGCGTGGACCACCGTGGCCAGATCCGGCTTCCCAAGATACGGGCGCAGCTGGCGCACAAGTTTTAATTGTGCAAAAGCTCTCCCGGCCACCGCCGAGACCTGGGGTTCCAGGCTCAGCGATGAGTCCAGGATCACTCCCAAGCTGCGAACCTGCGTCTTCAGGGGGAGTGTAACCCCGTCTAACACAGGCTGTAACCCTATGCCCTGTTCGGCCTTACGACTGACCAGGAGGACCTCTGTCTTGTCTGGATTCAATTTCAATTTGCTAGCCCTCATCCAGTCCGACACATCAGCCAAGCACCGGTTCAAGGTCTGAACAGCCTCCTTGGTGACAGGTGGGAAGGAGTGACAGATTTGGACATCATCTGCATAGAGATAACATCTTAGTCCGAAACTCCGAATGATCTCTCCCAGCGGCTTCATGTAGATGTTAAATAACATCGGGGACAAGATTGAACCTTGTGGGACTCCACACAACAACGGTTGTGGAGCCGAACAAGTGTCACCCAATGACACCTTCTGGGACCGTCCCTCAAGAAAGGATCGGAGCCACTGCAAGGCAGTGCCCCCGAGCCCCATATCTATGAGGCGTCCCAGGAGGATACCGTGATCGACGGTATCGAAGGCCGCCGAGAGGTCCAGCAGAACTAACAGGGACACACTCCCCCTGTCAAGCTCCCGGCGCAGATCATCTACCAAGGCGACCAAGGCTGTCTCAGTACCATGTCCCGGCCTAAAGCCAGACTGTGCCGGATCTAGATAATCAGTGTCTACCAGAAACCCCTGGAGTTGTGTTGCCACCACACGTTCCATGACTTTGCCCAAATAGGGGAGATTGGAAACTGGCCGATAGTTGTCGAATTGAGTGGGATCCAGTGATGGTTTCTTCAATAGCGGTTTTATAATAGCTTGTTTTAAGCTCGCTGGAAACTTTCCCTCTTGTAAGGAGGCATTAACCACCATCTTCACCCACTCTGCCAAACCCCCTCTGGCTTCCTTTATCAGCCAGGATGGGCAGGGGTCTAGGATGCATGTGGTAGGCCGCACCTCTCCAAGGATCCTGTCCACATCCTCAAGCTGAACCAATTGAAATGAATCCAACAAAACTGGACAAGCAGATGCTCTCGTTACATCCCCAGAGACTGCTGTTAATATGGCATCAAAGCCCGACCGAATCCGCGCAATTTTATCCGCGAAGAATCGAGCAAATGCCTCACAGCGAGCTACCGTGTTATCAGGGGCCTCGCTTTTCGGCGGATTTAACAGACCCCTGACAACTCGGAACAGCTCAGCTGGACGGTTCTTCGCAGATGCAATGTTGGCGGCAAGAAATGTTTTCTGTACCGCTGCTATCGCCACACCGTAGGACCTTAGGAAGGCATTCAGGTGTGTTTGGGCAGGGTTGGTGGGGTTCCGGCACCACACGAACTCTAGCCTCCTCTTCTTTCGCTTCATCGCTGCCAGCGCCTCGGTAAACCAAGGATCAGGTTTAGCTCGGTTACTCGAGAGGGGGCGTTCCGGAGCGATTGTGTCGATTGCCCTGGTCATTTCCCTATCCCAGCGAGAGACCAAGACATCGACAGAGTTGCCAGCCAAGAAGGTGGAGAATTCCCCAAGAGCTGTCAGGAAGCCTTTTGGCTCCATAAGCCTCCTGGGGCGGACCATTCTAATAGGTCCACCACCCCTGCGGAGGTTAGGAGATGCAGTGAGTCTAAACCTGATCAGATGGTGATCGGTCCATGGCAATGGAGCGATGGTCAGCTCCTCCACCCCGTCACTTTCACCCCATCCTTGAGAGAAGACCAAATCCAGTGTGTGCCCGGCACTATGGGTGGGACCAGATACTAATTGGGACAGGCCCATGGTTGCCATGGCGGCCATGAAGTCCTGAGCTGCACCCATAAGAGAGGTCTCGGCATGGACATTGAAATCCCCCAAGACCACAAGCCGTTGGAAGCTCAATGCCAAGTCCGAGACCACTCCCGCTAGCTCAGGTAAGGAGACTGTTGTGCAGCGGGGTGGTCGGTACACCAACAGAATCCCTATCCTGTCCCGGTCACCTATCCTAAAGCCGGCACACTCAAAAGAAGACGACTGTGGGATGGGGCACCTGATCAGGGGAATACAAACCTTATAGACCACTGCGACTCCACCTCCCCGCCCTCCAAGCCTTGGTTGGTGCTGAACGGAGTAGCCTGGCGGACAGAGTTGGGAGAGATTTACCCCTCCCCCCTCATCCAACCAGGTCTCCGTTATACAAGCCAGGTCAGCTTGTTCTTCCAGGATTAGATCTTGAATAATGGAAGTT